CTATTTATTTTTAATATAAGATCACGGTATTTTACCGTACAATAGGATTAACGTTAGGTTATATCAAAAAATTAAAATGCTTCTACAATCTATTAAAATGATCAAACAAAGGAGTATCAAAATGTTTGTTAGATATTTTATAGGCTAAAAGATCAATATGGCGGTTTACTTCTCTATAGACATATTTCAGAGTGACCTCTCAGCTTTTCATGATAAAATTTTTAATGCTTTTAATAATTTTTAAGAGAAAATAATTTTGGATCAAGCTAATATTAATGAGTGATATGGCCTCTATAAAATTAGTATAAACATTAATTTTCAAAATCTATGCATTCTAACAAATGTTTGGCCCTTTTAAAATTCCTATTTTAACTGTTAATGTTTTGTAGATTTAACGGTGGAGTAAAATTATTCTCTTTTTAAAAATTTTAAGATAAAATTATTTTAAACAAAAATTTTAAATATCAGACACCTTTTGTGAAGAAGTTCCGAGATATTGTTGCACTTTAACTCATAAAACAAAATCTCATACGCAATTTTTGTGAATGCAAGAAATATATGAGCGTTTTTCCTCATTCAAAGCCTATAACATTCAAATTTATAATGATTGACAGTAACTTCATTTCTAATAAAATTTCTATACACATTATTTGAACTACTTACCTTAGTTTTAGTTTACATATATAGCTTAACCCACTCAATTTTTTAACCTCTAGAAAAGATAATTTTAGTTATCGCAAAAAATATAACCTTAGTGAAATTATTCTTTAAGTGTAACTATTATTATTTTACAACTTCCATCCATTATAACTGTATAAGCAATTGCTTGGCCAAGAGCAAGTGCTTATATTGTAATGTCTTTTTTGATGAACAGAGCAACAAATGATCTCACGAGTGGTTGGTACAATTACTTTTGGGAGTTAAATTAATTTATTTTAAAATTTTGAATTTGAATTTTGAAATATACAATTGTGTTAAATAAACATATCAAAAACATTATCATATGCTGGTGAGGCAGCCACAAGTAATAAGGATCGCATAATATAGTTTAGATTAATTTGGATAAGAGGTGATAATATCTTTAAATTTTCTAGGATGTCGGACCAAGGAATAAAAAAACAAAAAATAATCATTGCCACAAAAAAATAAAGAATCAACAAATAACAATTTAATTAAGGATTTGATTCATAACTCATAAGATCATAAGTTGCAATTCTACTGTTGATGTAAGGAATTTGTCAAAGGCGTGATTTGTAAGTTGTATTTCTAAGAGTTCTTTGAATTTAGAAATATGCATTAATTTTTATGAACCCTTGAGACTATGGTTGTATGTCTGCCCTGCCTAAGCCATTCAACCTTATTGGGAAGGGGGTCGAGCCTTGCCCAGCCTAGCCTGAATATATGACCTTTTTTATTTTTTTTATAAAAATAGTTATTTTATGATATTATTTTTGTTAAGAGTTATCATGCATTATGTCAATTCTTGATTTTTTTTACATATCTTATCATTTTAATTTTTTTAATCTCTTTCAAAATTTAAAATTTATTTTTAACTTGATATTATGTAGAAATAATTGCAATTTTTGGTTATATATGATTTTAAAAATAATTATCTCTTTCATAATGTCAATTTTATAAAGAATGTATTTTAAGTTATACTAATTATATTTTTCTAGGATAAAGTTTTTATATTTTTAAAAAATATTTTTAAAAATTCTCTTTGAATCAAGCTAAACCTAGCCTTATTATTTAAATGTTAATTTGGTTAGAACTATACATTTAGCTAGGCATTGGGCAAGGGCGATGCTCAAGTCAACCTGATCCACGCCCCACTCAAAATCAAACCCACCTAAATTTTATTCATTAAAAAAAACAAGAAATAAAGGATAGCCACTTTACAAAAAATAAGAAAAAGGAATGAAAAGAGAGAGGGGGAAAAAAAGGCAAAAAGTAGCCAAAAGAAAAGGAATAAAGTAGAGAAGTCCTCATTCAGTCTTATCTTTACTCTTTATTCTTCAGACAAGATGAAGATTAGAAGTTTAGAGAGTGACGCTTAAGGACCAAAGGAGGACAAAATTTACAATTATGGATAATTAATTTTGTAAAATAACAAAGGGATAAAGCAAGGTCTAAATTTAAAAAGTAAATTGACCAGAATGCCTTACAAAGTTGTAACATAGTCCAGTTGCCAGTTGCAAAATTCAAAAGTCTATTTATAAATTTTAAAAGACTAGTTGTAAATAGATTATAAATTATGAAAGTTTTGTAAATTTTGAAAATTTAATTACAAATTTTTGAAAGCTTAGTTATAAAATTTAGAAGTTAGTTATAACATGTCGTAAATTGTAAAAGGTTTTTATAATTAAGCTTTTAGGTTTTATGACTTAATTTTTAGAAATTTTCATTTTTTTTTCTGGCCAACAGCAATTTCCAATTCTACTATCAAAAATTTAAGCTTTACAAAATTTATATAATCTATCTTCTGCTGTAAATAGCGTCGGACTATCGGACCTCTTTTTTTTAATAGTAATTTTTTGATTATTATATAGTAAATAAAAAATAAAAAGATTATAAATATTTTATAATAAAAAATGGCTTGGGAGTAGGTGTGGGAATAAACTAGGTCATTAACAGATAATTACAGCTTTACTTACTTTAGACCCAACTTAATCTACTTACTAAATAGGCTTAACTCAAGTACAGACTTTTAATTATGTTTATTTAATTAAATAAGTCAGACCTATTTTTTTAAGGCCTAGCGTACAAACCCAACAGGTCAGCATATATATATATATATATATATTATGTAATATATCACAAACACATTAGTTTCATAATTTGATTTTTAATCTATCTATTTTTTTTATTTCTAGTTATATTTTCAATCATATCCAACTTATGTATTAATCTTATTATTGTTACTTTATTGTTATATTGTATTATAGTTAGTAAGTCCTTTTAATTATGATATATTATAATTGATAAATCAAGTTATATATTGTTATTATAATAATTTTAAAGTATATTTGAGACGTTTAAAAAAAATGTAAGTATATTTAAAAAGTTTATTTTTAAGTAGACAGGCTAGACTTTAGGTATGCTCATGCATGAGCTGTTAAAAAAACCTTATACAAGTTTTAGGTATATTTAGTGAAAGTTTAACTCGACTTAACCTATTTTCACCTCTATTTGAGAGTGAAAAATGAGTAGTGAATATTAAATTCATACTAAAAAATAATCCTTCCAAATCTCAATATAAAATATCTTTTAGAAGTCTTACTTAATTTAAAATATAAGGCCTTAATAATTTTTATAATTAATTTTTAATTATATTCCTACTTTATTTATTATACTTTTTGGAAAAAAATGATTATTAAACTTTCAATTGTTATTATTAAGATACTTATATAGAGTATTTAATAAAGGTATAATTGTAAAAATGTATTTTTTTTTCAAAAGATTGAGATCTCAACTAATTCTTTTGAGAACCATAATGTACAAATCTTTATTCTAATGTCACTCAAATTGGAGCTTATTTTTATATTGTCACTGAGAGTTTATATCCCGTGCATTGCAAGGGTATAAAAATCTAATTTATTACTTATTTGCAGCTCATCTTTTGAAAATTTAAAATTTATAATTGAGCTTTGTAAATTTGCTATTAAGTTTGCAATCACAACTAAGTCATGGCATTGCTTGTTTCATAACTTGTATTACAGTCTATCTGTCTTAATTTGTGAGATAAATTTAGACAAAATTATGTATATCAGTAAAGACATTTTATAACTTTATTTTGTAAAAACAAAAATATAATTTTTTTAAAATATTTTTAAGAAAATTAATATTTTAATCCTTCAATTTTTAATTTGCTTGTAACCTAATCCCTCAAGCAATCTCTCAACTATAATTTATTATGAATTAATTTCTTAATTTTTGATTCACTTATAACTTGATCTTTATTTTTTAATTTTTTTAAAAGTTATCCTTATCAAATAAGAGGGATAAAAAAATGTTCATATATTGTTTTAAAATATCCTCCTCTTACTCTTTGATGAAGGATCTAAGCTAGCATAAAAAAATTAAAAAAAATTGAGGAATTAAGTCACAGACGAGTCAAAAGTTGAGGAATTGAGTTTTAAACAAGTTAAAAATTGAAAGATTTAATTATAGCAAGTCATACTTAAAGAATTGAGTTATAAGTGAGTTAAAAATTAAAGAACTAAAAAATTAATTTTTTCACATATATTTTTATTTAATATAATCTTAAATGATTAAGAGAGAGAATGATAATCAACAGTAATTAAATCTACTAATTCTCACAACTTCACGAACTGGGTTTGAATTCTTGTTTATAAAGATACCTACGTTTAATATCCCACCAAAAAAAGGGAGCGAATGATAAAAGGTGACAGAAAGTATTAGAAAAATGTGTTTAATGAATTTTTTAATTAAATTATTTTATATTTTAAGATATTAATTTTTTTATTTTTTAATATTGGTCCTTCTACAACATTTTCACATGGTTTAAGTTAAATTTTAAATATTAAATTTAAAGAATTTATAATTTAATTGTTCAATTTTATAATTCTGTTATAATAAATTTATAATTCATATTTTAAATTTTAATAAAAAATAAATTTTTTATTCTTCAATTATTTTAAATTAAAAAAAATAAGTTATAAATTTATTTTTATATATAATTATAAAATTAAAAAATAAATATATAAATTTTTAAAATTTAATATTTAAAATTTAACTTGAATTAATTGTTGGTTTCGACCTTGGTGTCTTTCTTCCCGTAGACTTTGCCCCAATCATAGAGAAGGCCAATAATATCATTACATGTCAGCCTTCTTTCTCTTTTCTTTTTTAACTTTGTCTTTAATTTTGCAACTACTCTTTTCCTATTGGCCCGTCTTGAACAATTCGTCACCGACTCATCAGTTTAATTCATTTTAATTTTCTCTCAAATTTTCGGGTTTTTATAATCTTCGTCAAACTCGTACGGACGGATATTCTCCTGAATCAAACGCTCCTTGTTATCATCTATGGAAGTACGTTCGGATCTGAGTTGGGTTTGATATATTTTTTCTTGTGAATGATGGTGGAAATGATTTTGTTGTGAAGTTCTGGTTTTGCTCTGTCTCATCCTTTGGTTCAATTTAGTGCCCTAAATCCGATACTATGAGGAAGAAGTTGGATACACGTTTCCCTGCTGTGAGTAATTTCTGCTTCGATTTATAATTTTTGTTTATCTTTTGTTGTTGTTATGTTGCTTGGTAGCTTCTGAAGTCGCGGAAAGAGGATGGAAATTCGCCGACGTCTGTAGAAGATTCCGATTTTGAGCCGAGTATGTAGTCGAACATTTTTTGTCGTGGGTTTGTGTCGCAAGTATTGGTATAATTCGGATTCACTGCATTTCCTAGGTTTTCACTGCTTAGCACGATCGGAATTGAGAATTGAAGTAGATGAGTGTATCGTCGGGTATCATAGAGCCAAGTGATGCTATTTTTTAGATTTTTCGATAGGTTTGAGTTCTGGGGTGAGATTTTCCGTTGCAGTTAGTTGATGGGTCCATCAATTGAGACTTCCCTGGCCATAGTAGCCAACCTGTGTTAGTTATCCTCTCCTTGAGAAGTATCGCTGAAAATTAGGGTTCGGGTACAAGATTTTTCTGACATGTGAATTAGAGGTAGGAATCCCATTTCTCATGTGATTTTTTTGTTATACATTAGATTATTAAGAGCTATTGTTGTCAGTTTCAGCTTGAGGGCTTGGTTGATTTGGTAGCTTTCTGTGACTTCAGGGTGATTCATATCAAATTACATTTTCCTTCATCTCTTACCTCATTTCATACTAGGAAGATCATGTGTTAACACCATTGCTTTGTGGCACATTCCATTTCTGATACATCATGGATATTTTGTATGCAGCAGTTACAGCAATTATGCTTTCCCAGCGCACAGAATGTCCGGAAAGAATCAAATACTTGTTATTGCTTTGTTTAATAGCCTTCTTGTATGCTTACTTTATTAGAGATCTAATAGGATTATTTAATGATTTTTCCTTATTTCCCAGAGGGGGAAAGGTTGGTCAGTACTGTAAGATGCTAGCCATGATTTCAGTTGAAGCCTAACTATGAACGCTTCCTCTAAAGTGCTAAAATCGAATTTAAACTCTGCGGAATACTTGTCATATAGTTTTATATGTGAGTTATTGAAAAACAATACTTTATGTGATGAATTTATGAAAACATTAATTTGCAGGCTCGGATTAAAAAGATAATGCAAGCAGATGAAGATGTTGGAAAGATAGCACTTGCAGTGCCTGTTTTAGTTTGTGAGTTAATTTGAATACTGGCTAATTTCTTTAGGCTTCCATTTGATGTTCTCTCTCTCTCTCTCTCTCTCTCTCTCTGGGGTTTATCTCTTATATATTGATGACAACTTCTAATATTTTGCAGCTAAAGCTCTAGAGCTGTTTTTGCAAGACCTATGCGATCGTACCTATGAAATAACTCTTCAGAGAGGAGCTAAGACGATGAGTGCATTGCATTTGTAAGTTTGGGAATATTACGATCTTTGTTGTTTTTTTTTAAATTATTTACCCTGCTAATGAATTAGAACTAGAACAAACTTAATAACATAGCAGTTTTATTGATATTATTCTATTAATTTTCATACATTTGAATTTAATTTTTGTTTTTGCTTATAGTTATTGCTTATATATCTGATTTATGAGTGGAAGGTAAAACAAAGCAGAGACATGTGATGCTGTATTGTACTTTATATAGTCAAATCCTGTATGATTGACCAATGTTTTTTTGGAGTTATATTTTATAATATTGTTGAAGTGTTTGTGCTTCACAATGCCTTTGCTTATTTGGGTGTATAATGGTTTGTTAAACTTTTTTTTTTTTTTGAATAAAACAGGGAAACTTCATTCAACAGTACTAAAACGGGTACAACCTAAGAAATAAACAAGCAATAAGAAAATGACAAAAAAGGACCTCTCAAAGAGGGCATTAATAAGCCTAATGAGGAGGTTCCTGATACAAATTAAAATCACACCTTAATGTCAATCTTGATCTTTGTAATCAAATTAAATGTATATTTACATATTTCTGCTGCATTATAACAACAACAACAATAAGCCTTTATCCCACTAGGTGAGGTTGGCTACATGAATTGTAAGATGTCATTGTGCTCTATCATTTACCAAGCTTTTAAAAATATTATTAATTAAAAGATCGCGTTCAACAATTTCCAAGAGTGTTCTCTTAGGCCTTCCTTTACCCCTCTTAACAAGACTCAAAGTTATATGTTTTACTTTTTTCACTAGGACTTCCTGTGGTCTTCTTTGTATATACCTAAACCATAATGATTTTCTACTATTTTTCCCTTAATAAATGCTACCCCCACTTTTTCGCGTATGTACTCATTTTGAATTTTATTTTTACGTGTATGTCTGCACATTCATCGTAACATTTTTATCTTTGCTACTCGAACTTTATGCTTTTGTTGTCCTGTTAGAGCACAACATTTACTACCATATAATATAGCTGGTCCGATAGCAGTACGATAAAACTTTCTTTTAAGTTTATTAGGCATTTTACGGTCGCAAATAACTCCTTTAGCTTGTTTTCAATTAAACCACTCAACTTGAATCCTATGTGAAATATCCCTACTGATTTCGTCATCATTTTGAATAATGGCTCTTAAATATTTAAACTTTTCCATTTGAGGTATAATTTGATATCTCAATTTCACTTTCAAATTACTGTCGACTAGTCTCTTATCAAATTTACAATGTAAATATTCTGTTTTACTCCTATTCAGATAGAAACCTTTTGACTCCAATGTCCTCCTTCATATTTCTGCTGCATTGATTAGATTAATTTCTAATGGCAATTATAATGGAAAGTTAAGTCCTGCACATCAAAACATCTCCACAAAAGGGAGTAAAGGTAGCACTTGACTGCCAGCTCCTCAATTGTAAATCCAAAGAAGAAACCTTCCTGTTTGACCTGCCAAAATCTTCTGTTTTTCTGTCTGGATGTTGCAGTATTCTATAGTTTTTTCCCTTTCTGTTCTTTTGACAATCGTCTTTTCCTGTCTGTTTTCTTCATTATGCTCTTTTACAGTACTAAATATTGAAAGTGCAATTTCTATTTAATATACTGATTTGCACTTTGTTTTCATGGTTGAAAGAATGCTATGCTCACCAAAAAGATCGAACTAATACAGACACATTTTCATGTGTAGAGTTTTCTAGTGTCTGCTAACAAGGTGTTATTTGATTAATTGACCTAGTAAAACTCTTCATACTGATGGTATACGAGAAATGAGTCCTATCCTATATATATATATATATATGCGAATATTATACCCATTAAAGGAAGTCTCCCTTCACAAAAAGATGCATATAATATTTAGGACATGTAACGTGTGCTTATGATATGATAATGCTTCTGCTTTCTAACACCCCAACTCATGTTTTACTTTAACATATTACTAAATCCATTGTAACCTGTGCAAATCTGAATTGCAGAAAACATTGTGTACAAAGCTATAATGTCTTTGATTTTCTGAAAGATGTCGTCAGCAGGGTTCCTGACTATGGCCATGGGCATGGTCATGGACATAGCCATTCTGAGACTGGTGCTGATGATCGTGTCATTACAAGGAGAAGGTATGAATCCACTCACATTTTTCGTCTTAAACTTATGATTGGTCCATGTGTTTAAGTTTAGTGAGCTTAATAATGCTATTCTGAACCAGGAAAGCAGCAAATGATGATCACCATGATAGTGATGACGACTCTAAGAGAAGCAAGATGGTATTTACTCTTTTCCTGATAGTTACATCCACATGCTTGATGATGTATTTACTTTCTTAAATGTGTTAAAAGTTTTTTTGTTCTCCTGCACGTGTGCATTATATGCTTTATTTCAGGTAACATTATCTAAATTCATTATAGAAACTTATCTCAGACTCATAACTAAACCTTCTTCATTTATGTTTATGACCAACTTCTGCCTTCCTTAACATAAACGTGTTCCATCCCACTCTGTTATGGAAAAGAAAGTTCCTTTATTACCGAACATTTCCTTTCCATGAGAATTTAACTATGTTTTCTTCACACAAGCTTTCACTTAGGACAAGCAATATTTCACTAATGATCACTCATTCTTTCAAATTGTATCGTGACTAATTCCTGTATGCAGAAAGACAATTTCTTTATTTTGCTTAATAATAGTTGTTTTAGCCGGTGTTAGTCATTTTGTGAACCACAAGACAGACCTAAAGTATTGAAGGATGTCTTGCAAGTAAATTGCTCAATGTCTAGATGTCTAGACGTGAATATTTTCTTGGGGGTTATTTATGTTTTTCTTTTGTTGCAGCATGAGTTAGGCCATACTGGCAGTAGTGGTAGGGGAAGAGGCCGAGGTAGAGGGAGAGGTCGTGGTCGAGGGGCTCGAAATGTTGAGCGGGAAAAAGAGAGTCATCATCAAGAGCTTGAAACTGAGACTTGCACTTCTGCTCTGGACAGCAGCAAACATAATCCTGATACAAATGTGGCCATCGACAATGGTTCAGAGCCAAAGGAGTTACCAAAAGAGAATAATGCAACTCCTGATGAAGGTGCTCAGTCTGTCCGTAACATTGATCTGAATGCCAACTTGAATGAAAATGAAGACAAAAGTGCTAGCGCTGCTGTAACTGACGCCCCTTTGCCTGATCCTCCAAAACACGAGACAAAGCATGAAGAAATCCCTGGTTGGTCTCTTTCTGATGTGGACAAGATGGTCATTGACTCAATGCAGCTTGCACACCTTGGTAGACAGATAGAAGAGGATGAGGAAGATTATGATGAAGAAGGGTGAATATTGAACTCTTTTGGAGGGTGGGGGGATTAGATTAAATGGATAATCTTATAAAATTTACATACCAATGCTATTATGACTATCCATTAGATAGCCAAACATGCCCCTAGTTGTAGGTCCTAAAAAGATCCTAATCCTTGTAATTTTTTTCCTGGGTTGTTTGTAGCAAATGTAGCTACCTATTAACCAAAATGTTAGTTTTGTGTACTTTTAGGCCATGAATGAATGTAGTTATGAAGCAGCCTTGCTAGTGTGCTGAGGGAAACTCAGAACTCAACTCAGCAATATTAGGATGTAATATCATCAGCATCAACGGTTTGAAGCGGCTGTGTATTAATAACAAATCTTGGATACACTGTTTAAGTGTGTGATGTCAAGTTTTTCAATAAAACTGGGAAGCGGGGATTTTTTTTTTAATTTATTTGAAATGATGAAGTCTTGAAGAAGTATACTTTGTCTGGTATTTTTATTGAAAAACTTGATGTCAAATATGAACTGTACCTGAAATGAGCAGTAACTATCGTTTCTTCATGATTTTTTGATCACTGGAAAACTTCAATTCTATGTTAAAAATGTTAAATGAAAAATTATTAGTTTAGTGGAAGTAGTTCGAAAAAAAAAAATATGACGAGGTTTTGGTTGCGTGATGAAAAGAAGTTAGCAAAGTTTAATCGACGCACTTTATATAAAGGAAAAAGCAACTTTAAAGATAAAACTAATATTAGTGGGTCTTGGTTAGATCTTTGGGAGAATGACACTGAGAGCTCTCAAAGGAGAAAAAATAACGGTGAGAGTTCAAAATAACTAAAAGTTTATTCATATACAAGTGAATCAATGAGGTGTGATGATGAATTGGAATTTTCAATTGTTTCTTGCCTTCATTACTATTTTTTTCTCCTCTGTGCGCTCATTGCCATTCTCTCTGAATCTTTTGAAACATAAATTGTTACTCTCTCTTTTTTAGCCTTTCTTAACAAAAGTGAGATGACTTAACGGGCACGGGAAAAAGAAAAGGAAACAAAATTGTGGGGTGCAAGTACAAGCTTGAAAAGAGAGAGCCAAGAGTGCAACGCTCTCCTCCACACACTTTTGAACAGAATATATTTTTGATTTGAAACGTCTTACGTTATAAATTCCTCCATGATTCAATAAATCCGACATCAACTCCTTACATATTTTTACAAATCCATGAAAATTCGTTTCACCGTTCTTGAAGGCATCCTTGCAGAAGTATGCAAAGTTATTAGGCACCTCTAGTCATCTTATTAAAATTAAAAAGAGGTAGTTGAGTTTAGACATGAGAATATAGGTCAACTTGAACTATATGTGTTGGGAGAAATATGAGTTGGATTGAGTTGAATTTAACTCATTTTTATATGAGTTAAAAAAATCTCAATTCAACCCAACTTTTAAGAGTTGGTGGGTTAAAGATGCCTGTTAATCCATTTATTTTTTTTGAAAATTTATTTTTTTATGAATCTTTGAAAAATACATTCAAATAATGAGTTTTAATTTAATATTTCTTCATGATTCATTTTAAATATACTAAAATGTTAATTTATAATGTTTTTATAAAATGTATAAATTGATTCAGCTAAGTAAATCATGCCTAATATGATTTATATTGACAAAAATTTCTCCTTTTTTAAATTTTTTAAAAAATAATATAGATTAAACGGACTAACTCTAACCCATAAGATTCATCAATTATATGGTTCGAGCCAAAAAAAAACAGTTTTTATTTGGGTAATTTTTTCCCAACCTGACCTAACTTTTATTATGATCGGTTATTTGGGCCAATCTACATAAACCAACCCATATTTTCCGCTCTAGTTGAGTTAATGTTTTTTTTCTAAAAATAAAAAAATTCAATTTTGTTTATATTTAAACCCATGCATTGAAAGAAAATAATAGAAAACTTCCAAATTTACATTGCGTAATTAATAGCTTTGAATAGAAATAATATTTAAAAAATATAATTAATACGAGATCTGTTAATTTATAAGAATCATCAACCCCATTTTTTCTTTTCAAGGAAATTTAGGCAAGTCAGTTCACAAAGCTCAATAGGATCATAATATACCTCCAAACTTAAAGAATATTTATACAAATATTTATATATTGTCCATTAACAAAGTTCTCACATCAACAAGAAGATTTGATCCTATGATTTTATAAATTATAGGACAAATCCTTATCAATTATATCAACCTTTTGTTGGTGATCATCCATTCTTTATGTTCCTAAGCAATCAAATATCTGAAAGCAAGAAATTTGGATGTAATTGAAAATCTCTATTTCATTACCCTGATTTGTTTATGCATGCGTTGGTTTGCACTTTCTCATCTTCCACATACAATAATTCTTCAAATAAAATCATGATTAATATATATATTATTTTGTTAAAGATTCATATCAAAGATTTAACTGTTCAGATTTATTTATTGTTTTTTGTTGTTGAATCAAGAATACGTTCCATTGATAGCGAAGTCAAAGGTAAATTATTACCAACCGAATTACTAAATAAACAAGGGATGAAATTTAAACTTTCAACCATTAATGTAAGTAACAAAAACATATTAACATGAATTAGTTAATTTAGCTTTTTAAAAATAATATTTTTACAAAACATTAAATAAGAACCGTCAAATTTTAATATAATAAACCATCATATAAACACCAAATACTTCCAGGGGAACGAAGGCAACTGTCATGTACAAATATTCAGCCAATAACTTTTCACACACAAAAAGAACATTTTGTATGTAAAATGAAAAAGCATGGTGCTGAAACATACAGTACAAAGAACTAAAACACACTTAACAAAAACTAGAATTATTTTGCCAGAGACGCCAAAAGCGACTTGGATAGGTATAATAACTATTATTACACAGATCATGAGAGTGATATCCAAGGACGTTTTGATTCTTCTGAAGTATAAGACACAATAACCAAAGAGCAGAAACTTTTGTAACATTCCTCATCACTACTGTGGAGACTCAGATTCAGATCAGGAGTGATCTTGCTCCATTTGATTCAGATGGTACCCACCCTGATTGTTCTGGTGTACCTCAACCTTGAACTTCTCTTCCTTGCCTCCCCTCTTGACCTTCAGCAGCAAGTTGAACTTGGCAGAATCATCAATGACCTGTTTACATATGTTCAGGACATCCATCAGCTATAATATATAACCATCAGTACCTATGAAATACCAAGTTTTGCTATTGAAGCAATGAAGCACCCTGCTATCACAAAAAAGAAGGTTCAATAATCATTAGAATTAGGTTATAAGTGTGGCTTGCAAAGCTATCCATTAAAAAAAAAAAAAAATTACCCCTAACTTAGCCCTAACCTAGCTCTTTCCCAAAAGAAAAGGAAATTCACACACCCACACATGCATACAAACATGCCAACGTCAAGTTCAAACCCGAGACTTCTTCTAAGTAAGGGAGGTGGCACTGTCACTAGGACAGCTAGCTGTTGACCTTGCAAAGCTATCCTGGACAGTAATAAAAAAATGCTTGCAAGAAGTACAGCAGGAACACGGACGGTTTTCTTCTCTAAAGGGGCTCTTGCCTTGAATGTAGAACTCGTTAAACGTTTTTACTGAAGTACAAATAGAGCTGAATTAAAAAAAAAAAAAAAAAAAAGCTTAATGCAACATTCTTGCCAGTAATCCAGCATTAATTACACAGCAGTTATATCATTTGTTCTACTGAAAAACTAAGACAGTGTTCTAACCAATAATGAAAAATACAATCCCATTCATCACGCAGGAATCATGATCTCTAAATAGACACAGACAAAACGAAAGAGCATAATCACCTTTCAAAAGATATCATATAAAATACCATCAAAAAGCAAAAGAAATATTCTTATTGATCTGAAAATTTTTTACGTAGTAATATCGGATATAACTGTTTCTGAAAAAATATATTCCATGTATTGGTAAATTCCTCGGGTTTAAAACAACTAACTTATCGGCAGTCTCTGTTTAGTCTCAGGTGTTTGCGAAAAGATAAATAACTTCAAGCAGACAGCATATCAAGAAATGGCAGAATCATTTTCAGCAAGGTTTCAGGCAAACAAGCAGACAGCATTATGTCTCATATATGGTCAAAGAAAGTAAGGTATTTAGACCTCAAGGAAGATGAAACAAAATTTAAAAGCAGTTTTTGAAAGCAAGAACAGTGACAAATTCTCCTATAATGGAAATGGGAAAATCCAGAAAAGTCTCAGCAACTGAATAACCCTTGAATGCTAAACATCAAATTACGCCCAACAGTTCATTTAAACCCAACCAAGTGACAACAGTAGAGCAAATAAAAAAATTAGCAAGAAGTTACGAAGATACAAATGAAGGCACTGACCTCTGCTTTTGCATCAACAACCTCATGAAGCTCATAAGGCAGTAATGAGTTAGACCTCTGCTGGAGGGTCCTGACAGCATGATTTGCAGCATCCTGAACTTGAGGATCATGCGCTGGCACTGTTTTCCATCCTGGTCCATGGCCATCTGATGACAAAATATGTCAGCAACTCAAGGTAACAACTAAACTTGAGGTTCAACTACTCTATAAGAGAATCCTCAGATAGTATCAACAATAAGGAAATTATGATAAGTTTTCAAATCTTGGAATGTCTATATGTACTAACATGACTAAAAATTGAAAATCCAACATAAAGAAACCACAACTGTGCAAGACGATTTGATGGCACCAATCAAGGGCCCTTGTCCTTAAAGCCTATTTCTCCATTTGCCATGGAATTTTAGTCGTCAACGTATTTAATCAAAACCAATGGCACTAACTCCTTATTATAATTAGAAAATCTTGATACTTTGAAGGAGGATTTGAGATTTTGGGTCAAGCCGACAAAGGCATGCCAACGCTGACCAATTTTAAGCCATACAAGACAATAATAGAAAAAGCTCCACTCTCCTTGGAGAAACTACAAGAATCTTCGTCACATCACATAATTGGAATTTCAGGGACATCACTTTTTACTGTCTGGTACTTGAATATATCTTACTTTCTAAAGCATACATATAAGGGATGGGTGGAAATTACTACATGTAACAATATTAGAAAATGGCATTTCATATAAGTTCAAAAATTCTAGCCCAAATGATATTGCTCTTTGCAGCACCGTGTAAAATTATGGTTACACTATCAACTTTTTCAAATAAGAACATATCAAAGACCACTTTTAGATCGTCATTTCAATTTTATCAAGATCTTATCTGCTTGATTTAGAAAATGGCACACCTGTTTTAACACCAAGGTCTGAACTGGTAAAAGCCGGAACATCACCAGCATGTTTGAACTCTTGAAGTTCTTTAAAGTTCAACCAGGGTTTAACCCAGATCTTGGCTTCATATAGCTTTCTCTTGCCAGCGTCAACGGCCTCAATAGTGAGATGATGCAGTGTACCAGCAACAACTTGTTCCTGTGCCTTCACTACCCTCGCAAACTCCAGCAGTGCGTTCTTCAATCAACACCATCAAAGAACATTACTCAATTCGTACAAAAAGTTTGCGTTTTGTAGGGTAAACATAAGAGGAGAGTGAGGAAGTGAGAAACCGATTAAAAGGGAACGTCACAGAGCTCCGCAATCCACTCAAAAAATACGTAAATTAAGGCAACGCAAAATACTTGGAGAACTCAAGAAAATATTTAATGCATGATACCATACCTCCCTCACAGACACCAATTTCACTAATTTCTCATACTCGTCGAGCATATAAATACATACAATCAGAAAATGAATACTTCAAGTACAAGACACATGAATTGAACCATTCAAGAATCAAACCCATCAAAACGAACGAAAAATGAAACATCATTCCTTCAGTTAAAAGAAATCAGGGATGGTGTCCAAAGAAACCATCAATCAAGAATCTAAACAAAGTGAAACCATCACTGAATCTAAAGTAAAAAGATAAGCAACCTCTTTCTTGTTGTGCTCCTCAACAGCGAAACGCGCAAGGCCATCAATGTCGGCGCTGTTCTGAGCACCTGGGGAATCGTGAATGCCTCCAAGCATGGCCACTTCAGGGCGACCGTAATCAGAGCAATCCGCGAGAGATGGTCGAACCAGAAAGAGGAAGAAGACGACGAAGAGAAAAGAGAACGATGGAATCGAAGAAGAGGAAGAGGAAGAAGAGGAGGAAAGGAGTAAGGAATTCAGTGCTCTCATTCGCTTTCTTATACTTAGCGAAGAAGGCTTCGGTTTAACGCGTGCGCCCAGAGGATCTCTCGCTCTTGGCCTTCCTAATAGCTATCGCTTTCGCATCGAGATCCACGAAGCCATTGGATTTGGGTACGCGTTGAGCTCTTTTTTCTAGGTGTAAGTGGTATTAAATAAAAATAATAAATAATATTTCAAAAAAATTAGTAGCCCCGTGCTGCACGTCTTAAACCAAAATAATAATAATATCCTTTTTAAATATACAAATAACAATTTAATTCCTTAAAAAATTATAATTTCTTTAAAATATTTAGAGAATTTTTTATTATTAATAAATTTATATAAATTATCAAATTATCTCTATTAAAAATAAATAATTCATAAGTTTTACTTAAATATTCACAATTTTTCTCTTATATCATAACAATATAATAACAAATAAGAAATTTAATATGTGAAATTGTAATTTGTTGTTATATTATGATAAATATAAGAGAAAAAATTATGAACATTTAAGCAAAACTTATAAATTATTTATTTTTAATAAGAGCAATTTAATAATTTATATAAATTTATTAATGATAGAAAAGTTTTAAAATTTTTAAAAAAATTAAAATATTTTGAAAGATTAAATTATTATTTATATATTTTAAAAAAATTTTATTATCATTTTCTCTTAATTAAATTGTGGCTCAAAATTTTGTGAAAAGAAATGCCTACATTTGTGTCTGATTGTGCCTCAAAGGAGAGTGATTTCAATTAAAAAAACGGCATGTATCCAATAAAAAATTATTAAATCATGGTTCAAATTTTGGTTCAATAAAAAAAATATTAAAAAAAAGCCCCTCACAGCTTATTAAATTATAGTTTAAATTTTTGTTAGTAGAGATTATATCTCAAACGTGATTATTTTATATTAAAAAAAGCACATGTGGAATTAAAAATATTAAATGATATTTGATTTCTATCTCTGTATTTTCAATGGCTTCCTTGCAACATGAACAATAAGTCAATAACTAGGGAGACGAGTCAGGCGAAAATTTCTGTCAGGTGGTTAGTCTTTAAAATAAAAATAATACATGATTAATCAGGAGATTAGTCATTCTCAATCTCTCTTTCTATTAGAATATTACATAAAATAATAAATAATATTTTTAAAAAGTTAATAACCTCTTGTTGCACATCTTTAGAAAAAGTAATAAGATTGAGTCTAATAAAAGAGGATTAGTCTCTTATAGCGTGTTAAATTAATGTTCAAATTTTTATCTAAAGCCGGTAATTCAGGCAGACTGAACTTATTCAAGTAAGGCTCGATTCAAGTCAGGCTTATTCAAATCAGACTTAAAGTATCCTAACTTTTTTGAAAAGCTCATATAGTCAATATCGACTCTAACACTTTTAGGTTTCAGGCTTATTCGGGCAGGCCCGAACACTTGAAACTTTTTAAAAATATTTTTTCTTTATTTTTTAATTAATTTTAATTTTTAAATAATTTTATTAAGTATAAAATATTATTTTAACCTCAAAATAAAAAATAGAATAATAATAACTTATCAATTCTATAGTTAAATAGCTTTATTACTATTTCATCATATTATGTGTAATTTATTCATGAGTGTTTTCTTTAATTGTAAATTAAAGTCTTATTTGTTTAAATATTTCTCTTATCATGGTCATATAAAAATACTTATATATTTTAATTATAATTAAGTTAATCTCAATTTAATCATGGTTAAATTATTAATTTAAAATCATTACCTTGATTGGTTCAAAATTTTTAATAACTATTAGATAAACTACACTTTTTATTTTTAAAAATATAAGAAAAATAGCTATCATTATATCATATAATAAGATTATTTAATTATGAGTAAAATATTTTTTGAATTGCTTTTTCTTTAATTTTTATGTTGTTTAACCCCTACATACAAAGACTGTTTACTTTAATTTATTCTTAATTTTTGACTAAGTTTGGTATGGACAATAACCAAATAATTATTTAAAAATATTATTTTATTTATTATGTTTATCTAGTAATAGAGCTACGAATTTATACATGCCTGAATTTTTTTATAAAATTATTTTTACTTTAAAATTAATTATATTATTTTATTAAAAATATAAAATATAATTTTTTGAATAAAAAAATTATGTATAGGACTCAAAATGTTTTTTAAAAAGATTGGGTCTTAAAATATAAAAATAAATATTAAAATATATTTTAAATATTATTTTGAGATATTTTATTAATTAAAAATAATAAAAATAGGAAAATACGAATATTTTTAATTTTTTAAAAAATAAATATAGTAATACACTCAAATAAATGGTATTTTAGTATAAAAAACAGAAAACTTATAAAATTAATTAATATTTATTATATTTTATATATTTTTTTAAAAAATTATTTTTTATTTCAGTATTCGGGCTAAGCCCAGACTCTATTGGGCTTAGCTCAAATTTTCTCAAGCCTATTCGGGCTGCCCGAATATTAAAAAATTATTATTTTTTTGGAGCTTGGTCTTAAATTTTTCAGGTAGGTTTGGATTAGTCTAAATTACCGGCTCTATTTCTATCCATAAAAATGTCTATAGTAACATTTGATCATGCCTCAAATAAGATTATCTCAAATAAAAAAATACATATATATAATAAAAAATATTAAATAATATTTTATTTTTATCTCTGTAATTTCAATAGCTTTCTTGTAACTTGAACAATAGCTAGGAAAACCAATCAAACCATCATGCCAACCTGTTAAGGTCAAGCTTGTAATTTATGGGTTAAAAAAAAGGTATTCATGACTTTAAACAGATGGCCCTTTTAGAACCTAATATTATTTTCTAAAAAATTAAATGAAAATACAAAATAATTCAATTATATTATTGTCAAGAATGATGATGATGATAATGATCATGTCGATGAGTTGCTCATTTCACTAAAGTGATTGATTTTTATCGTATTCTTTGTGTTGTTGAGAGTTGTTATTGATTTGCTGCAGCTGTGGATTGACTTTGTTTACAGTTTTTTATCTTTTCATGATTTTATCTTGTGTGAAATAACTTTTTAAACTTACAAATGTATTTTAAGTGTTTAAATTTAAACAATAAAAAAATACAAAGGTCACAAGCCTACAAGGCTAGACTAACCTTAAGAGTCAAGGTCGAGCTTCAATCCTCAAATATTTTCAAGCATTTGAAGTGTGGCTATTAGCTTTTTAAGAATTGATCTTAATTTCTTGAACAAGAGATGATGAGTTCCCCTTAATTAAAAAAGGAATAATTAAAATATTAAGATGTTTTTGAACAAATAAATCATTGTAATATTCTTTTTTAATATATGTGGAAAAAGCATAAAAATTGGAGAGTATCAACAATGCATACTAAAATATTAAGCATACCACAAACCATGTGTGTGTGAGAAAGAGATCTTAAAAATAATGTGATAGAAAAACACACCAAACATTGTGTTGGCATATCCTATAAAAAAACAATGTTCCAAGTCATGTTCAAGATTACTGTCATTAAGAACAATTTTGATATGATTACCAAAGCTCCTCAAGAATAAATGGAACCCTCCTATAAAATAAATAGGATAACAAAACAGTAGAAATAATTCAAGATAGGAGAAACTCAGGACAAAAAAAAAAAAAGGGCTCGAAGACGCTTGAGTGGTGTTTGAACAAGTGTGGGGGAAGAAGCTTATATAAGCCAAAATTTATGGGTGATTTAATATAGACCAATAGACTTGAATATAATTAAATACGGCTTGATGACCATTAAAAAAAACTATTTTTGAACATTGTAATAAAAAATCAATTAACGATGATTAAAGTGCCCAACACTGCATCTAAATTGTGCAAAGGAAAAAAGTTGGATCTCAACTATATTAGCATGTTATTGTGTGCGTAAGTCCACCTTTTTATTTAGCCCATTTACTTTTTCAAATTTTTATCTTAGTATATATACTAAGGCTTCTTCAAGTTTGAGCAATTTTAAACTTCTGTTGACATGTAAACACAGAGACTCCAACATTTTAATCCATTTTTATTTTAGGAACCAAACCTAATAGGTGGATCGATTATATTGTCAACTGTAGTTGTTAATTGTTTAGTTTAGATTAAAAAACTATTGTTGTGGTTGTGTTGGGGTTCAACCAAAGTTAAGTCACTGTTAAGTCATAAAATGGAGTTGAGCTAGAACTAGAATGATTTTTAAAAAATCAAACAAATCTAAAACTAATATAAAAAAGGCTAAAATATTTTTAAAACCTGAAAAAAATTAGACCATATCAAAAGCCAATTTTATTTTTGAACCTTTCATATGTATATAATATGATTCAAAATAAGTTTTCTAGGAATTTGTTAACATTTATTGATATAAATTTAGATACTTTTAAGTAAATTCATACATGATTTAACTATGATTCACCCGTCGTGGCTCACCTGAACTATCAAATACAAGTAAGGAAATGACAAATTAAAGGAGGAGGATGAGTAAATGGAGTAGTGCGGATGGAATGTATTCATGCAAAATTATAATCACCAACAACATGCTAAAAAAAATGCCACCTATTAGCACGTTTGTATCAATTTAACATTAGGGTAAGATTGCCCTGAATTTAATTATTTAAAGTTTAAAATATAATAATTATGAATTTAGGGTTTAAATTGCTCTCAAATCTTTAGTTTAGGTTTAAATTACATATTAAATCAAAAAACAAAATACAGCATAAAAGATAATATTAATAAAAATTAAACTAATTTGAATGCTAGTTTATTATCTTTTATCTGCATATACATGTTATGCCTAGTCATTAATATACTTTATATATTAAATTAATTTGAGAGATTATTTGTGCTTTAAAACTCAAAGAACTAAGACGATAATTTTAAAGAGATATAATCAACTGAACCAATAAAAATTAAATTTAAAAATATTTAATTAATAATTGAGATAAATTTACAAATTAAAATTTCTATTATCCTTATTTTTTGGAAAAAAAATTCTTGAAAGAATGACATTGAAGTTCCCAAACTCATAATTTATAATAATTAGGTTCTCAATAAAAATTTTTAAGAATTTAATTATAAATATTTATTCTGACAGTCTCTAATTGCAAATAAAAAATTTAAATTTTAAATATAATTCTCAAATTCAAAATTACTGTTTACAATTATTTAAATCATTATTTATAACTTATTTTTTAAAATATTTTACCAGAGCTCAACTGTCATGAATTTTAAATTTTGAGACTTTATTGTAATTGTCCCAATTTTATCTCCCATTAAGGGGCTGTTTTGTACGAGTGGTTCCCAAAACTTGGGGGTTCGAATTCGAAGGAGAAGAAGAACGAAGCGACAGAGTTCAACTGAAAATGCGGCCGCACCTCTTCGCAGCGAATCGTTGCTTGCTTCATCTACCCGCTCTGTTCCGACCCTGCAACTCCGTTCTTCTTTCTCCGTCTCGTCCTATTCTTCTCCGAAAATCCAATCCTCTGATTCTCTCTCAAAACGCCTTCTTCACCTCGCGTTTTGCTCGCAATCTTTCTGTGCGCGCCGCCGATGTCAACGACGCCGGCTCTATCGACTCGCCTCTCATGCAGTCCATGCAAAAGAAGGTTCTGTTTTTTTCTTTTTTCACTATTCTTGTGTTATTTTTTTTTATCGTAATTTTTTTTTATCCTTTTCATCATTACATGCTTGCTGACAAAAAGATTATGGTGAAAGATCTTAATTCCTGTTATTCACATGGTAATATTGTTTTTTTGTTGGCGCATGATGGATGGGAAATTAATCTGGGAAACAGTTCTCTTGCTGGTAAGCTGTTAGATTATCAGTTTTATCGACCTACATTTGACCCTGTGTGGTAGGGATAACGAAATGCAGTGGTTCGTATTAATGTAATAGGAAAGGAGGGAGAATGATTTTGTAGATGTATGGTTTCCTAAATCAGTTAAGGAGGTGATTACAAATGGTGAGCTGTGCGATTAGAGACCTCTCAATTGGTTGCTAGTAGTCTTTGTGCTTTCTGTTGCTTGGTTTTGTTAGCACTCTTCTTTGTAAGTAAATTAGCTATTTGAAGTTTGGAGAGTTTTTTTTTTCCTAACTCGAATGAGAACTTTATTGCACTTGTCGCTCCTGAGAATGTTAGTGTCACAGAGTGACAACTGACAAGTTAATTGATTTTTTTTTTTTTTGGTTTGGTAACTTGATTCAACAGATCAAGGATCATCTCGATGCAGAATCAGTCTCTGTGAAAGATGCATCTGGTGATGGTCGTCATGTTAGGTGAGCAATAATGTTCTATCTTACTGTTTAAACTAAGTTTAATGTTCTTACTGTTTAAACTAAGTTTGCATTCATTTTGACTGCCTTCTGCTTCATATGTTTTTGTTTCTTAAACTCCTGGTTTAATAGAAAATGTGATTGGATAGACACTAAACAATAGGTACACAAGAAGTGGCCAGAGGACTCTAGAACTGAACCCCAAATAAAAAAAGATAGTATATCAGAAGATGGGCTATTAGGAGGCAATAGCCTTGGACATTGACATTTTCAGATGGGATGAAGATTTAAAGAACTCTATAAAAGAAATCCCTATAATTGTTTGATACAAGCATGTACTTCATGTATTTAATGGATACACACTACACCGACTTAATTGTTAAAATATATATCAAGATTCATCTAATTAAGCCCAAAATTCCCAAGTGAAATCTTTTGAAGACAAAAAGGGGGAGTTTTCTAGGTATAAATTTCATTTTTCCCCCTTGTTGCCGAATGTGGAGGCTTAAAATGTATTTTACCCTACAGAGAAGTATGGAACTTTCTGTGGGACGTGTGCATTTTGTATAAGTTAATTTCAGAGAAATTGTCAAGTAACTTAGATAAGATGCCATACTCTGTAATATCATTTGCAATTGGCACTTGGCTGTGTATAGCTTGAACAGGATTTTAACAACTCTAGTTCTTCGTTGCCTTCAGGTGCAGCTTATAGGCTTTCAAATTTACATACTTCTTGACCAGAACGTGCTATCACTAGTTCATGCTTCTTCTTTCTTCTTTCTTTTTTTTGGTAAACAACTAGTTCATGCTTTTTAATTGCATTGTATATCATTGAAAGCCCATTTTGAGGAATTTTGGGGTTGTTAATGTACTCCTATTTGCCACAGACACAGAGTTCTCTGTTAAAAAAATTCCAGGTTGTTAACATTTGATCAGATTTTTATAAATCCTTATTCATGAGCTTCTATGGCCTACATTTTTTCTTCAATATATATTCCTCCAGCCCTAATTATAGGACAAAATTAACTAACTTCACGGTTATTGAGGGGTTATTAATATCCTTAACCTTATAAAGAATATTTGACTTTACAATTTTGCCCTTTACTGAAATTAATAACCACAGTAAAGTGTGTTTAGGAATTATAACTTACTTCAATTAGGAGGAGCAATATTAACCAAAAAAAAAAAAAAAGACATCATTGTTCTATATTTAAGATCAAATAAAGCTTTAAAACTTTGCCTTATAATTGAGACTGGATGGAGGATATATATGGATTTTATCAGGGGCAGGATCATATTATCCCCAATCTGATGACTTGATTCAATACGTTTGATCCCTTGGTCAATCCCATATAAAATCTTGATCTTTACAAGTTACAACTATTGTCATTGATTGTGCAGTATTGAGGTTGTGTCAGCTGCCTTTGAGGGACAATCAGCTGTGAACAGGCAAAGGATGGTGTACAAAGCCATATGGGAGGAGCTTCAGAGTACAGTTCATGCAGTTGATCAGATGACTACCAGAACTCCTGCTGAAGCATCTCAATGAACTGATAAAACATCATGAACACGTCACACGTTTGTTTAAGAATACTGTCCCTGGTACATGTTCTTGTTCTCTTTACATTGATCTTTATGTTACTGTTCTCTCAAAAATGAATTATGAATCCAAATTATTGTTCTAATCAAACGTCCATCACCCTTCCCAGCATGTTTTGTACAATTGTGCAAATAATGCACGCCAGGGATAGGCTTATTATGGTTATATTCATCGCAACTCATTTTTCACTTGTTCTTGGTCCAAGTCATGGCAATAAAAATAGAGGAAACTACCATCTGGGTCTACAATGGATGTTTGTTTTATGAATTCTTCCTTGTAAAAATATTAATTTCAAATTAGTTTGTGTCTTTTAAAACGAAAATCATTCGGGTTCTATCAAGAGTTATGTTATTCATGTTGGTAAAGTTGTTGGCACAGAACTACAGTAATGCTTACTAGTTATATCCTAATTTATAAGGCATTTTTTTTTAAATTACACATACCAATGAAGTTAGTTAAACACAATTTACAATTTTAATTTTTTTTATAAATTTTTAAAAATACTATTCGTTAATAAGAGGGGAAAAATAAATTCATTTAAGAAGTGAAATAATAAGGGATAATATTGAAATAATTATCATTAATAGAACTTTATTTTTATCAAAATATTTTTTATTTTAAAATATTAAATTATTTCAAAAAATAACTTATAAATTGAGACTTAGGAAATGTATGCATAGCTGAGATGTGAGTTTCGATTTTCGAAGTGTGGCTGCTTTATTATTCTTTTTTGGGGGAAAAATTGAAAGTCGAAAACAAGGTGATGAAAATTTGTAAACTTTCATTGGATATGTTCAAAAGAAAGCAAATAATGACTACCAGTTCCAAACGAGACTCGGTATAGAAACCTCGTCCACTCGAAGGACTTTAAGCATTAAATTAAAATAAAGTTATTGCAAATTCACTAATAATTTATTTAAAGAATATTGCAAAATATTTGGAACTGTATTTTAATTTTTTTCCCCCTCAAAACAAGTAGACATTTTGAACTGTGGACGTGGTTCTAGAATTTTGATCTGTAAATGTCTCACCAGCAATGAGGGACGAAGATGAGGAAGGAAAGCAGATCGGTTAGCTTGTGGTAATGTGAATGAGAAAAAGAAACAAAGTCAAAAAAAAAAAAATATCTGACATGGCAAAGGAGAGAAGCTAATTGGGATGTCAACGTGGCACTTTAACAAGCAGATAATGGTCAAATAGGATCAGGGGTGTCTGCCTTTCTTTTCCTCCCTTTCCCTCCACTTCCTCCATCTTTACCATTCAAATTTTTTTATTAAATAATTTTTTTAAATGAAAAAATTAATAAATGGTGAGGATGGAGGAAATGGAGGAAAATGGAGGAAAAAAAAGTGGAGAGACCTCACTTTCGGTCAAATAACTATCAATGCAGTCAAACCCTAACGCTAGAATGAGAGTGTATCAAATCGAAAAAAATGTTAAGATGACATTGCACTAAAAAGAACTTAAGAATAGTAGGTGTATTTTTGTAAAAATTAGGAGAATCAATTTGTACCTTAACTTTTTTTTAAATAAAAGGCTCACAGTTTTTAGAAAGTTAAGATTTATACTTTTCAGGATGATTTGATAATGAAGCTCACACTGCTTAGGATACACAGCCAGGGAATTATGGAAAAAAATAGAGTAACAGATAAACTAAATAAATTTAGATTGGGGATAGTGTGGCTCGAAATCACAAACCACCACGATAATACATAATAGATTTTTTTTCCCTCACCAGATTGATGTTTTCAACAATAAAAAAACATATTATTTACAACTTATTATGAATTTTATAGATGTATAGGTGTGGCCCAAGTAGAATAGAAATTACAACTTATTTTGTTCACTTGTTTAGATTGATTCTTCTATTATATTTATTTTCTCTGTTTAAAATTATAAAACATTTTTTAAAAAAATGTATATTAAAATATATAAGACATTTTTCATTTTTAATATATAATTAATGAATTTTTTTCAAAAAATTCTTAATAAATAAATTACTAAACCATTTATCTTTAAATAAAACACCTGTTAAATAAGAACAAACAAAAAATTAATAATGAGCTTAAATGTAATTAACTTTTATTAGAAATATAATTCAGTTAAAGATACAACGTATTTTTTAACCAGCGTAGTATGATTTTTACCATTATAGTTATAAAGTTTTATTTCAACTTTGAATAGTTAATCTTGTTCCGGTTCTAAATAAACATAAAATGCAATCAATCTTAAGGGTTGTTTGATAACACATGATATGAACTATGGAATTATAAAATGAAAAGCATCAAAAGGTCCTTACAAGTTACAACATTCAAAAATTCCATCAAGGCTTTTTGTATTCCCATTCCTCCTAAAAATCCTTTCCAACAAGCCAAGCATCATCCTAAAAGATTAAAGGGAAAATACCACTCTAGTCATTAACTTTAATCGTGTTTTATTTTTAATCTCCGTAATTTATTTTCATTGCTCCTTGTCTCTATGGGAATTTTTCAAACTAGAAAGGCTAATGTTAAAGTAGATCTAATACAAGCGATAAGGAACACTAAAAATAAAACTACATGAATTAAAAACAAAACATTATTAAAGTACAAGGACCTAGAGTGATATTTTCTCAAGATTAAAACATATATCTTATAAGTTCTGATTGAGTGGACAATACAGATACATCCTAGTAAAAGTTACAAAATGCTTACACAAACTATAATTCTAGAAGCTCAATAAAAACAAGTTACTCAAAGAAAAGGTAAACTTCATCATCGTTGAAATCTGAATCACCTTCTGTAAAATTAAACAACAGAACATTAGTAAGTATAAATCAAAAGACAAATATGCATCATAGCCTATTTATACCAAGTATAAAGCTTAAAAGATATACTTTCTCCATACCAAAATATAAGGCATTGGTAACTAATTCACGGTTCTCAAAAAATATTACTTGAAACCTTAAACTTTTTTTAAAAAATTATACTTTCATTAAATACCCTATATAAATGCTTTGATAATGATAATTAAAATTCTAATGCATCATTTTTTTTAAAAAGAATAATAAATAAAATAGAAGTATAGTTGAAAAAATAATTATAAAAATTACTCAATGTTCTATTTTAAACTAAGCAAGATTTTTAGAAGATGCCCTATATTGTAATTCAGAAGGAGTAATAAGACATACCTTCTGGCTCCTCATGCTTGTTAAAGTCACCATTCCTCAATTTCACCCTTTTGGCAGTCAGCCAACTTTTGGTGCACAAAAGAGCTTCAACCATCTTTGCCGGTAAATTACTCTGGTATTCCTTAAGCACTCGCTCGCCAGGTCTAAAGGCATACTCACAAGAAGAAGATGCTGGCACGGCTAATACATCACGCGCAATCAAAGAAAGTACTTTATACTTTGCAGCATTTTGTTTCCACCAAATCAAGATATCAAAAGAAGGATGATCATCAACTAAATCAGCTGTGAGATACCTCTCCAACTCTGTTTTTGAATCCCAAGCCAATCTCATTTTCTTCAACACTTTTTCCTTCAAATTCGTATAAACAAAAGTTGGCCCATTTGATACCCTGATATCAGTTCTACTCGATTCACCATTATCATTAACAACCAACAAAGAATATTCTTCATACAACCGATACAAGGCGTCTTTGACCTTTCTCTTCATGGCTTCACAAAGATCAGTGTCAAGATATAAATTTTCAAAAATCAAGTTGACATACTCAAGTTTATACCTAGGATCCAACACTACTTGTATGGCGAACACGGGGTTCAAGTTGTTTGGTTTCCCCCAGTGCTCATCATACTTACATTTGATATTCTTAGCCATATCCCTAATAAGAGGATCTTCATGTGCAATGTTCTGTTGTAACATGTCTCGAACAAAAGTGATGTCATGAAAGCATTCATTTGGTGTCATATGTAATGATCGTGAGAGTCTCAAAGTAATATCATAGAAGACCTTTAAAACCTGAACAAATGCAGAAACCTTACTCCAATCAGAAGTACTAGGAGGACCAATTTCATCCATATCTTCCTTGAAGTATGTCTTGTACTCCTTGTCTTCATTTTCCATTCTTTCAAACACCTTCTGAAATTTTATGGCGCGTTCGAGCATCATGTAAGTAGAATTCCACCTAGATGCAATATCCAAGCGCACTAGACTCTCTGAGTCAATTTTTTCCTTTTTAACAGAACTTTTGAATGTTTCAAGCCGTTCAGAAGAAAATCTGACATATTGAATAGCATTGCGAATAGCAGAAATAGAGTCACTCAAATCCATCAATCCATCATTTACCACCTTGTTTAAAATATGAGCATAACATCTCACATGCAGATAATCTCCATCACATGTTAACCCATTCCAATCTTTCAAATATTCCTTCAAGTGTGTTATAACATTGGATCTTGCATCATCTACTGTTAATGTAAACAGCTTTTTAATCCCCCATTTCAATAAACACTTTTTAATCGTCCTTCCTATGGTATCACCTTCATGATCTTCAATCATACTAAAGTTAAGCATCCGCTTTTGAAGTCTCCAATGTTCATCAATGAAATGAGCTGTAAGAGACACATATTTAAAATCATGAATTGATGTCCAAGTTTCTGCAGTAAGGCATACACCCGAACATGATTTTTCTAAAAATTCCTTAAGTTTCTTGGATTCTTCTCGGAAGAGATTGAAACAATCCCCAGCAATTGTCAATCCTGTTGGAACTGTTCTGTATCCAGATTTTAGACAATACCAAAACTCTTCAAATCCAGACCCTTCCACTACCCAAAAAGGCATTTCATGACATATGACATATTTAGCTAAAGCTCGTTGATGCTCTAAAATGTTTTCACCCATGCTTGAATCTGTAGCAGCATCAGAGGTTGAAGAAACATCATTGCCTGCACCATTGGCATCTTGACAAGGACTAGAGCTAGATTCAGGTTGGTATTGCCCTTGAGTTTGGTCAACACTTTCATCTGAAGCACTGGTGTCTTGACAAGGAATATGGCTTGGTTCAGGTTTGGTATGGCCTTGATTTTGTTCACTACTTTGGTCTGCCATTTCAATTTGAACTGAAACAAGAACGTGGTTCCTCAAATTGAGAAACCAACAAGCACATTTTACTCGGCTCTCAAGAAAAACTCTGGCCGCCAAAGCCAAGGACCAACTCAACCAACGTCAAAATAAAGACAAGAAAATCAAAATAGAATAACAATGAGCATAGAACTGAGTCTTTGGACCATACTAACTCTTCAGATTAATCAAATAAATACACCAACTACACCAAACGGTTAGAAGCATTCAGCTCCAGCTAAATACACCAAATCAAAAGTGCACACCCAATTCTCACCAAAACCATCAAAGGATATTTCCCAAATAGTGCAAACCACCTTCCATGTAGAGGGAGATGAGATGGTAATTTTATGGATACAACAGTTGTTAATAGAAATAATGGATAGTGCAGTTGTAGTGACACTTGACATGTGCTCCTAAATGCTACAGCGCATAGCATTGTTCCTTCTAAATTGATTTGCTCTGCATTTACTATTAAATTAATATAACTCAGAATTGCAGCATTATAATAATTATAAAAGATAAACTCATAGAAAACAAAACATATCCTATCCATATAATAACCCATTAGTGAAACTAAATCGACAATCCTTTCCCTTCAGAAACAATTGTACTTTATTCTCTTGTTGAAAGGGCAAAAAATACTTAACACTAACATAAAAAAGAATATCATAAATATTGGCGGTAATCTGCACATTCAGCAACCCAGCAATTGAACCTTCACAACCGACATTAAATGAGAGCAATGTATAATAAATATCATGCATACAACTGATTTAAAGGGTTTACAGCACACAATATCATAAATGTAATTTATATCTTCCATCTTAGCTCATATAAGCTGATGGTATCAGTTAGAAGGTCATGATAAAATAAATATTTAGAATATTAAACTCCTATTTACCCAGCACCTTCCAAGTTAAATCATATTTTTCAATGAAGACAATTTTGTTCTGGTGAGTAACATTGAAAAGCCAAAGAAATTCTGACCTGATAAATAGGTCTAAACGAGGACAATGAAACAGGTTTTCTCTCTCTGTTTTTTTTTTTTTTTGGATAATATGAAAAAGGTTTTTTCTAAACTCACGTTTTGTGCAATAGAAACGTTTTTAAAGAAAATAAGTAAAAGGAGTGAGAATTCGAACAGAAAAGGGTAATAGGCTTATCATAAAGATCATTTACACGTTTGGTATGAATGGAAAAAATAAAAATAAAAACATTTGAAGATAAAAAATTGAAAAGAATAAGTAAATGACACACAAATAACCTTTATTAAAAAAATAGTGATAATAAAACTCTTGGTCTCTCAAGTTTGCCTCAATTATTGATTTGGTCCTCAAAGTTTAATGTTTATCGATCAAGTCCCTAAAGTTTCATACACAATTTTATATTCTCTTGTAATCTCATCAGACCATCATTTTTTCCTGCAGTACCTGAAGGGGTTGTCATCCTTGAGTTTTAAAAGTTACACCACATGGGTGTCTAGAATTACATATCTTCAAACCATAAAGAATTTATTGTGTATGATTATGAAATTTTAGGAACTTGATTGATAAAAATTAAACTTTTAGGGACCAAATAGAGCACTGAAACAAACTCGAGGGTCAAAAGTTTCACCATCCCAAAAAGATATGCAGACTTAAATTATAAACATGGTTTATTTTTTGTCCTTAAAGTTATGGTTTTCAAGTTTTTTTTTTTTTACCTATCTTTATGGATGGAAGGCTCCTTTCTATGTTTGATGGAAGTTGGCCTTCCAATGAAAGGGTTGTTAAGAGGTATTTTCTCTCTCCTTCTCCTTCTCCCTCTCTTGAAACTTTTTTCCTTGCTATCAAAAACAAGCCCTAGGAAAAGGTCAGGAACTGGAACCACAGCCAACTAAAGGGAAAGAAATAACGTTGATTTAACGTGCAGCCAAATTTCCTAATCCCTCTGTAAATATAAAAAGAGACACTTCCTTAAACAAGTCTTGAGCCTATCCACACAAAGAATCTCCAAAAACATAATCCTTAGAGAATGTCTGCTAAAGAATATGAAACAGCCCTAAAAATACTCAAAAAAAAAAGGTGAAAATCGTCCAATAATTTTGCAAAAGAACCCGCAGCAACAGAAATCATGACAGAAAACACATCAGAGATCATTCATGTAAGCCCCAGGAAAATGTCGTCCACAACCAAACGATACCAACAAGAACAATGAATCGTGAAGTAAAATTTTAAAAGATTGAGAAATAGAAGATGAAATTTGTATGAAATAGAAGGAGGGAAGCTACCTCTTGGTTGGAAATGTGAATGAAGATTCTCACTCTTCTCCTTTGAAGCTTTCACTGTGTTGAGTGAGAGCCATGAGGCCACTGGCATGGCATGACGTCCAGAGGAAGTAGCAAAGAAGAAAGGACGTAAGGCTGGTCACGTTTGGGAATTGGGGCCGGCTAACATAATATGAGTCATAATTTATATTAAATGATAAACAAAAGCTGCATGCTACTTATATTAGGGTCGTATTTACAGTGTTTTTTTTTTTTAAATGTAAAGTGATGCTACTTATAAAGTGTTAATATTTAAAAAAATAGTAACATGACTCCCAATTTTTTTTATATGTGACTGGGTCAAATTCAACCGTGAGCGGAAAAGGACAAACGTCAACGTGTGACACTCACATTTATAATTAATAAATATATAATTAAAAAGTTAATTTTAAGAAATAAAGTAATATAATTAATTTTTTAAAATATATGAAAAATATTTCAAATACTATATACCGCTCCGATCTTATATATTAATTACATTCCAGAAACAAAACATGATTCACTTTATAAGTCTTTAGTTGATGGGATTATTTTATTTTAAGTTGAAATCTTTAAATTGCCTCTAAAATGTAAGAAAGAGAAAGATAAAAAAATAATATTATATTATTTATTTATTTTTTATCTTTTACTTGAGAGTTATATTTAAAATTTTATTTACTTTTATTTCTTGTATTTTTATTGTATTGGTATTAAAGAGATTGATAGAAATGACTTATAAATAGAATCGAAGGGAGTACTTTCTTCAATCTATAATATAAGCATTTTTCTCACTAATTTTAGTTTAAAATATAAATAATCTAGTATATGTTAAAAAAATTCTCATTTTATTCGTTATATTTAGTAACTTAAATCCTTGTTTAAATACATACTCCCTTTGTATCTATTTATAGGAGAAACTATCACTTTTTTTTTTTTTACATAAGCAAAATTACATATTTTAATAAACATTTATTACATATTTTTTAAATTACCCTTTATAATTTACATTAATAAAAAATAATTAATATATACTTATGCTAATTAAGACAGGACATTTTAATCTATTTTTTATTTTTAAACATAATTATTATGATTAATTAATTTTTTTAAACTGTGTGATATAATTTTTTTTCTTATACATAAAAAATGAAGGGAGCATAATCCTTTTGAATTATAATATATGATTTTTTTAAAAGTTTTACTTAATTCAAAAAATAAGATAATAGATAAATTTTATAATTATTTTTTTAACTAAATATTTATTTCATCTATTATTTTTTTAAAAAAATAATGTATTGTAATTTTAATTTTTATTATTAAAGTATTTATATAAAATATTTAATGATGATAAAATTAAAAAAATATAATTTTTTTAAAAAATTCAGTTGAGATTAGTGATAAAAAAATTATATATATTTTTATAAAAATAAAAAATTTATTGATATATAATTTTTTTTAAATTACTTATATTTTAAATTGGAAAAGGTAAATAACAAGAAGCAAGCATTAATAATTTAGAACAGCGATTGATGGAGATTGATGGAGTGAAGGGGAGAGAGTCATTGATAGTTTTCATTATTCCCAATGCAAAAGAATTGCCAGTTCTCAGATACTCAAAGTGAGGGATAGTTGATGGGAAAGAGTGATAGTTTTTAAAATCTGCGATCACAGAAAAGATGATATAAAATATTAATTTAAAATTATTTTTATTTTATTATTTTAAAAATTAATATTTTTTAAAATATGTTTTAAAAATAAAAAATTAATAAAAATATTTTTTTTATTTTTCCTAATTCTCTAAAATAATAATTTCAGAATGCTTGAAAGTTTTTTTTATTTTTTAAAATAATATTTTATTTTTTTTTTTTTAAAACACATTTTAAAAACACATTATTAAATAAGTTTTTTTTATTCTTTTATTTTAAAAAATAAAAAAATTATTTTTAAAATAAATTATCAAACAAGCCTTCGCTCCCTCTCTCTCCCATCACAGACAAGATGGTGTAAAATATTAACACACACTCTCTCCTTCAACCATCAACTATTTTTTTAGTAGTATTAAATAACATGTATTATTAAGTAATGTAATAAATTTTTAACTTTTAAAAATAAAACATTTAATAACTCATCATTAATTTTACTTGACAAATGTTTATACGAGGTTCACAAATGACATATAATGATATAAATTTACTTATAAATTATTTTTTAAAGAGTATTGGATAACATTGATTATAAAAAATAAGCCATCCAATATATTCTCATCAATTTTAATGAAATACTATTTATTTTTATATTTATGAGATTCATAATGCGTCAATCTCTTTAATTTTCTTACCTTTATTTTCAATCTCAGTTCAAAAAGAAAATATTCAAAGAGTTGAAACTGAAAACAAAGACAAAAAAATTAAAGAGATTTCAACGTTATCTCATAAGTATAAAAATAAATAATATTTAATCAAAATTGATGAAAAGATATTAAATAGTTCACTTTCTATAATAAAAGCTATCTAATACTTTTAAAAAAAATTTTGAATTATCTCAATTGAACCCACCTAGTTTGACCTATAATTAGACCAACTTTCTTGTTAGATTGATGTATCCATTGTAGCTAACTAGTCTAGTATGAATTTATACACCACAATTATATTTTAGGTGAATATAATAAATTATAAAAATAATTAATTAAATAATAAATTTTAATCATAATTAATTATATTATAATATAATTTTATTTAAATATTTATTTTTTAAAATTAATTTTAACTATATAAATTACTATATAATTTAATTCTAAAATATTAAATATTAATTTTTTAAGGATACAAAATTTAAATTTTATTAAAAAAAAGAGGAGAGAAGAGAGTTTAATTTTATTTTTATTAAATTATATGCTTTTTTATAATTTTTTTTAAACCTTTTTTTATAATTTTTTCCAGAGCTTTACGGCAAACTTTTTTACATATGCTCGAATTATCAGCTTGCAAAAAAAATTCATTCTTAGGTCAAAAATCGATTAACCAAAAACGTGAGTTTGAATGATTTTGTGAAGAATCAAGTTTCTTACTTAAAAAATAGACTCTAAACTATATCCAAACACACTACATCAATAATTAATACCAAATACAGCACATCTAGATTTTGACTCAATTCTCAATTCTAAAACTATAGGGATTGAGGGCTCTATTCTGAATATGAATCCTTGTCATTATCAGGTTGGATGACATGGGAGAAACTTTTAACTCTTAGTCCACATAGGATGAATTAAACAGATAAAACTTGGATGATTGAATGAAATACAATTCGAGTTAAAGACAGAGTTATGATCAAATTAAAATTACAAGGATTAAACAGTTAACTTTTCTTAAAATATATCAACATCAAATTATTTATGCAACAAAACATCGATATCAATAATCAATAATTCAATATAATTTGGGATATTTTACCATATATAAAATTTAATTAACAGCCATCCTGTTGAATGGTTATAAGAAAAACCAAGCGACATATATATATATATATATATATATATTGATATTATGGCAACGATGTATCAGCCATCCAACGATCCAAAACCACTCAAGCATACAAAATCAGATAACATATAGTCATTGATTAAAACATGTAAGAAAGTCTATAGCATATTATGATAACTTTTGGGATACAACAACAAACTCCTTCAGGAGTGAAAAAGAAAGTTGGCAACATGAAGTACAACACATTAAATCCAAAGGGAGAGGGAAAAAATATAAGGCCCTGACGCAGCCATAGACCCAAAATGCTTAAAAAACTAGCAAATAGATGTGTCATGGCCAAAAGCCAGCACAAGGGCTATTTATAAAACTGGGAAGGGAAAAAACCTTTAGTTTCACATGAAACTCATGTTGCATCCTCCCGGCTGACGGCAACGAGCCACAAACATGAGGGAGAGCATCCCGTTTCATCTCGGGAAAGAGGAAAAAGATGGTGTGAAGGGAAGCTATAAGGAAAAACAGGATAGGTGTTTCTGAATTGACATATAGTTACAGCTTACTGCATCTACATACAGAGTACTCTCTCAGTTCATTTCTGTCAGCTGTCCCTTCTCTTGAATACTATTGCCGAATTAGGGAGCTTCTGAAGAAGATGATTCTTCAAGGTTAGTCTTGGGTCACTTTCTGGTCCAGGGTGGAGCTTTACCTGCACACAAGGTTTGAGTGTAAGTTCTCAAAAGATATATAATGTAAAAAGCCTTAACAAGTCCCATTGTTCAACGCACGAGACTCACACTAGTTAATCAATATAGTTCTCTAGTTCATTGGAATGCATCCTGCATAATCAAGCATTCAGCCAGCACTATCGCTGCTAGGGAACAAACAGTGATCTGATGTGAAATGTGCTTTGTTTTATAACAGTGAATAGTTTCATAGTTGAAGATATCTTTCCCCAATAGTTTGAACATGTTCCAAGTCTTTAAGGCCTTTTTTGATTGCTATATTAAGCTAGTAATTTGAAAATGTCTGAATCTACGGAATAGTTCCAAGACACGAGGGTTCAAATTAATTCCAGTCATGAAACTCAACATTGTTATCAAGCTCAGCATTCATGAGTTTATTTCTATTTCATGAGCAAACTTCAGGGATGTGGCCTCAAAAGCTTTATTGCCCCAAGAAGACTAACTTTGAGCCGCACCACAAGGGTAAACTACACTTCGCCTAATTGCCACAAAATTTCAACGAAAAAATTAAATCTGTCGCATTGCATCATGTTGAATATATTTTTGCCACTGTTATAGCATGTAACTTATGAGAGGGAAGCATGCATCAATTATGACACTGAAAACTTCAGAAATTGCCTCATCTCTTGAGGATAGCCCCCTAGGAACAATTTTTACATCTTGAAAATTATACGTAATTTTTTCTGATTCAATTTTTTTATCTTGAAAATTATACGTAATTTTTCTGATTCAATTCAAACATCCTTGGATGTTTTACAATCTACACAATTTTAGATCAAATAGTTATGTTCATGCAGTTTTCATTTCTAGAACATAACAGCCAAATATAAAATACTTGTTCATAACACAAACCTAAAAGAACATAACAACTGAAGCTTGAAGAACAAAAGAAATAGCTGTATATGACACAAACCTCATATTTTTTCAGAATCAAAGCAAACAATGTTGCAACTACTTGAATGACAAATTTCTGACCAACGCAGGCACGTGCACCAGACCCAAAAGGAAGAAATGCAGCATTTTCATTTGGATCATTCAAGAGCAACGAGTCAAGACCAGGATTTGTATGCTCATCAGCAGAACCTGAAAGAATGATCAAAATCGGATATTAATGACAGAAAAGCAATAACAGAGATTATGGAAGGACAAGCAACGAGGTAATCATGAACTTCCACACTTGCTACACAGCTTCCATGTTAAGTTATATGCAAACTTCATTACAATGACATATTCAGGATCTGAATTGCCAGCAAAATTATACCGATTTTGACGTAAGAAAAGAGAGAAAGGGAGAAGGAGAAGGAGATAAACAATGTGATGGAAAAATAATCTTAATCGAATTCAATAAACAATCATGTCTAACAAATTAGAAAAATCTAGGCCTATTTATAGAGCATTGAATACAAATAATAAAATAATAACAATTATTTGTACTAATTTAAACCTGAATTAAAAAATAGCCCAGATATCCTAATCCTAATTTAAAGTAATTTGGAGAAGATCAAACTTTTAAAATAAAGAGAATCACCAAGCAAAGATTCACTTCAACATATAATAAACCTGACAGGCATCCCCCCAGATTTTTCTTTCTCCAAACATAAAAGAGTATGCTTCTAACATAAGATCAAGCAAAAATGAAATCAGTATTGGTAAAACTGTCACATAAGTTCAGCCTAAGTCTGTCCCCAGAGAAGCAAATCATAAAAGTACTTTTATTTTAGCACATGACCTTAGGGTTTGAGCTTTGAAGTACAAAGCCCTTGCAAACTCTTCAAATTCTCACCAATAGACTTTATATTGACACCATTAAAATTAGAAAACAGCAATAGGTTAAAACGATAGTGCCCCACACACACATATATATTGGCCAGAGCACCATGTGATTAAAGTTCAGAATAGCCAACTATCTTAAACTTTGACTGGGGGGGTAGTCAACATCACATATAGGGATAGCATGCAACCTGTGTTTGTAGCATCAAGAACCACCTTGGATCCCTTCCCAGCATTTGACAAAAATCGGTAAGGATTGAAATCACTGGCATTACTACCCCAATTGGAGTCATCCATCTGTACCAACTGAATAGGCACAACTAGTACAGCACCTGCAGGTATGGTTACCCCAGTTGCAAAGCTCAAGTCTGCAACAGGAAGATGGAAGTTAATAAGCAATAAGGGTAAAAAATATTAGCATCAGAGAAATGGAAGCCAATAGGGATCCCAAGATGTGAAGAATACATATTATATGGTAAATATAACAAAAATGCAAATCATGCTTGTGCAACAGCAATATCGTTTTGAAATGGAATTAAACCTTCTCTCATATCCATGCTATGCTTATTTCATCAAATTTAGAAGAGCTGAACCTTAAAATCTATATTTGATAACTAAATGCATTGCAACAGAAAACAAAAGGACGTAAAGCCAGAGTCATTGTTGACGTAGGCATGTAAGCAGAGTAACACAGATAAAAGCTCAACAAAAATGACAAGGGTATAGAATTTTGTTCCAATTCCCAACCAAGCTAATAAAACAGAGAATACAATCATCATGTTTTGTTAAAAAAATCCACTTTATTGGGAGATAAAGGAAATCATTTCATTAGAAGAAATATAAAGACAAGATAGGATAAAAGTAGTCTTAGCCAAGGCAACATAAATAAAAAAGGGCAGCAATACCAAAGAACTGTGCAAACCCTCCACGAAAACCACAAGTATCATAGTTAAGGTCGAAGACAGTTACTAAAGTTTCTCCAGTTTGGATCATCTGCATGTTTTGTCCTCAAAAACTTTGAAATTAATCATTTTTGTTCCTAAAGTTGATATTTTTATTCAAGTCTACCCCCAACTTCTGAATCCACTGGATAAGATATGAATTTTGATTTGTTCACCAACCACCCTACCTGCTTCATTTACTCCATATATATACACTTCTTAGCATCATCGGATGCATATTATAAGAAATATTAGACCTCTGACATCTGACAACCAAATCTTATGACAAACTCTCAAAAAAACTGCTAATAACCTCTAAATGTTCAGATACATGATACGAACTCTCAACCATTATCAATTAGACGCCCTAAAATGTCATTCCATAATCAAGTAGCAAAGCTAATCTGCAAATAGGTAAGGATATGCATGCATTGCCCATAATTAATTAGGGAACGTGCACAAATTTCATTCCGTTGGTTTTTCCATCAAAAAGCTAATAAAGACATGCCAGCACTAGATATATTGCAAATAGTGTACATGGCTGATACTTGCTTCCAAGAACAGTAAGCAAAATCTCACCATGTTTCAGAGAGCACCTTTGCAACAAAGGTCCTGATGGCAGAAGACGTGCAGATTCATAAATTGTAGCCAATAGTAAAGGCATCCGGTAAATATCTTCCTGTTCATACTTCGATGGACTTTTCCCCACATTGGCAATTTCCAAATAAACCTGAATAAACATATGCACAAGTTTAACTATTTTTTCCTTCCTTTTATGACTGAACCCAGAAATAATGTCTTGTAAACATCAAGTGAAACAATCACATAAAATATAATCTCTAAGGAGAAAATACATAATCAATTTATCAACAAATATAAAATATAAATAGTATAGAAAGTCACACTGTCTACAAGTCATGAACAGTGTAGCTTATATTGAGTACCATGTAAATTTATGAGACCTACTCTAGTTGCAATCAAAGAGAATTCATATTGATGGGGATCAGAAGAAGTCTACGTTCAAGTGCAACTTAGACAACACTCTGGATTAAAAAGCAAACTACATGGATCATCTTAAATCCGATAAATCCTTCCCAGGAATTTCAAATTTGTGAATTATGATTAAACCATATGAGAGTAAATTTGAATTAAAGGATCCATGATCAATTCTGATCATCAAATGCATAATACAACAATAATATAACGGACTAATAGTTACCTTATCCTGTATTTCTGGATGCATGACAAGCATAGTCAATACGTTAGAGATTAATGCTGCTGTAGTCTGACATCCATGAAACATCACACCCATGATATTTCCATAAGGCTCTTCTTTTGCAGTATTATGATCCCTATGCTCACCTAAGAAACCTGGGCAGCCAGCATCAGAATAGCTCTTTGAAGCATGTGTCGTCCCCATTTCTGCGTTAGATCTTTCACTATGGACATTATGCTCAATGCGATGAAAAAGCTTGCAATTTTTTCTACAATGTTCAAGGATATCTTGAGTTAAGCATTTCAATTTCGTACATAAGCATTGATATCTCCAAAATCCACGTTTCCAAAAGGGAGTCACATTATAGGATGCCCAAAAGCAGGCATCTTTAGCAATCTTCATAAGGAGTTCCTCATAAATTGCAGCCTTAGGCCATGCTAAGAAGCCATCACCAAAGAACATTGCTCCCATTATGCCGAAAGCCATATTCTGAGAAATCAATCTACAATCAATATCTCCTCTGATGTTTTCTATTTTATGCATGATGAAGTCAATAACTGTTGAAGGAATCAGATCAGCATTCTTGAGCAATCTTTCATTCAGTTCTGTGGCCAAGAATTCCCTTCTCTTTCGCACCTGGTGATTGAAAATCAAATTCCAAGTTGCTATAATCAGGATAAGAACCGTATATACTTGAAAAATACAAGATTTTTAATTTCTGTAGGCAATATTAGATATAAATAATGATAAAGTGCAAACAAAAAAATTTGTTTGATAAGATCTAAAATCTGAAAGGCCCCAAATATATTGCAGAGGCAATAGTCTATTATTGCACCTTGTGACTCCAGTCACACCAAAATTCACATATAACGTGCTTTTAATAGCATAAGTATCATGCAATAAGGAAATAACATATATTATGAGCGATTGGCATCAAAATGGAAAAAATGCATTGCTTTGTTATGGTAAAATGATGAAGTACGTACTGAAGACTAATTAGAGATAAGTCTCACCATGATTTCAGATTTCCCCAGATAAATTGGAGGAGCGGACAAAATATTAGGTTACAACTTCAACTTTCATCAAGATAAGCACAGTATATAATATATAAGAATGGGGAAGGAAGATGATATCAAATATCAAATAATTAGACAGCTAAGCACCTCTTCAAAGGAAGAAGCGAAGAGACTTGATTGGCCAAAGGCCAGACGAAAAGCTTTTCCCGTGAAAGGTAGCTTATCTACAGCCTTCACAAGCATCTCCTGAATTAGCACTGGATCCTTAACTGACACCAAAAGCTGAGTAGGACCTAACCATAGCTTAACAACTGGTCCATATCTCTTATGAGATTCTGACAACAGATCTGAAAGTCAAACAGCAAAAGTATACATTTAGGCTTTACCATGGAACTCCATGGTTATCAACAATTTAACCATTCCAATATTGAACCATATAATTTCCATTAACAAGCATGCATGTAATAAATTCGACAGAATCCCTTCACTTTTCCTGTTCTTGCAAGCCTGAATAACCTGAATAATAATCCCCCTTCATGGCTGAAGAGAGTTTTGCCATGTACAGTTTTCAATCTCAAACTACTCAGCGTTAGGCACCATACAACCAATAAAGGTGATCCAGGGACCAGAAGCACATCTAAAATACTCAAATCTTCAATCCAAACGTAAACAAATAAATGAAACTGACATTAGCAACAGAAGTAGACCGTAGATAAGCATCATGCAAAACCCGTATCTATGCACCGCCTCCGCCGTATAAACTAATCACTAATTAATCAAATCTAAAATTCAATTAGCAGAAATCTACCAGCAAAGAGATTCAGAAAACAAATATTAATTCTACTGCTCGAAGGAGACAACGACAGAATTCAACAAATCGTTGAAATTGAGAAATCTGACCAGTGAAATTCTCCCGGGATATCAGCTTGCAGTGTCCGTAAAAGGAGGGACTGGGAATCCCAGGAATCTTCCTAGCTTTTAACCACAATCGGAACAACCTGACGACCTTCCTGAGCAAGAGGGCAGTGACGACGATGAGAGCAAGCCAGAGAAAAGCATTGACTTCTCGAGTGACCAAGTCCCTGAGGAGCTGCGAAGAGCCGCCATCGCCGCCACGATTGCAAGAAGAGGATAGAGATTGGAGAAGAAGTCCCAAGAAAGTGGAGGGGTGAGAATCACACGGTGAGTTCATTTTCTTCACATCGGCGAATTGGAAGAGATTGGTTGATTGAGGCTTCGAAGATTGTAACAGTCGCTTCTAAAACCTTCGCTTCTTTCTGCTTCTCCTCCTCCTCCTTCTGACTTTTTTGTTCTGAGAGTGGCTCACGGACGCTGTGCTGTCAGGTAAGAGTTAGGACGGCGACTTCAGTTGTCGTTTAGTTCCCGTGATTCCGCGACGGCTAGTTTGGTAGATGCAAGAAAGCGGTGATGCATCTGCCACGTGTTGCATGAATTTCGTAACGAGCAGTGGATATTATGAGAAAATAAAAAAAAAAATTAGAAACTCGATAGACTAGTGGTTAAAGGAAATATCACAAATAAAGATCTCAATGCATCGTGAATAACTAATCAAGATTATGAAATTATTAATTTTAAAACTATTTTTTAAAATTTTTTAAAAAATTAATCTTTTAATCCCCCAATTTTTATTTTACTTATAATTCAATCCATCAACTATAACTCACTACAACTCAATCTTTCAATTATAACTCGCTTATGATTCAATCCCTCAACTTTTGACTCATTTTTAATCCAATCCCTCAACTTTTATTAGTTTTATATTTTTATATTAGTTTAGATCCCACATCAAAGAATAAGAGAAGAACATTTTAGAGCAAAATATTAACATTTCCTTTATTCTTTTTACTTGATAAGAAAATTTTTAAAAAAAAATTAAAAAATAGGGACTAAGTTATAAGTGAGACAAAAGTTGAGGGACTGAATTATAGTGAATCATGATTGAGGGACTGAATTACAGTGAGTTATAATTGATGGACTGAGTTACATGTGAGTTAAAAGTTAAAGGACTAAAAGAGTAATTTTTTCTTTTAAAAATAACACTTTAAAAAATTTAAATTTTGCTAGTCCTGAAATTATTTTAGTTAGGTTGAAAATTTAATTGAAAGGAATTATAAAATCACTTTACTTAAGTTGAAATTTTTTTTAACTTTCAGGTTTACAAAATTGATCACTACATTTGTAATTGGTCGATTTAAAATTTGCAAATACTAAAATTACTTTAATTGAATTGAAAATTTAGTTGAAATGGGTTATCAAAACACTTTATTTGAGTTTTTTTTTTTTTACACCTTTAAACTTGCAAACTTAATCACTTTATTTGACTTATAACTCAGTCTCTCAACTATAACTCACTACAATTCAATCTTTCAACTATAACTCGCTTATGATTCAGTCCCTCAACTTTTGACTCCTTTTTAATCCAATCCCTCAACTTTTATTAGTTTTATATTTTTATATTAGTTTAGATCCCACATCAAAGAATAAGAGAAGAACATTTTAGAGCAAAATATTAACATTTCCTTTATTCTTTTTATTTGATAAGAAAATTTTTTTAAAAAAATAAAAAATAGGGACTAAGTTATAAGTGAGACAAAAATTGAGGGACTGAATTATAGTGAATCATGATTGAGGAACTGAATTACAGTGAGTTATAATTGATGGACTGAGTTAAATGTGAGTTAAAAGTTAAAGAATTAAAAGAGTAATTTTTTCTTTTAAAAATAACACTTTAAAAAATTTAAATTTTGCTAGTCCTGAAATTATTTTAGTTAGGTTGAAAATTTAATTGAAAGGAATTATAAAATCACTTTACTTAAGTTGAAATTTTTTTTTAACTTTCAGCTTTACAAAATTGATCACTACATTTGTAATTGGCCGATTTAAAATTTGCAAATACTAAAATTACTTTAATTGAATTGAAAATTTAGTTGAAATGGGTTATCAAAACACTTTATTTGAGTTTTTTCTTTTACACCTTTAAACTTGCAAACTTAATCACTTTATTTGACTTATAACTCAGTCTCTCAACTATGACTCACTACAATTCAATCTTTCAACTATAACTCGTTTATGATTCAATCCCTCAACTTTTGACTCATTTTTAATCCAATCCCTCAAGTTTTATTAGTTTTATATTTTTATATTAGTTTAGATCCCACATCAAAAAATAAGAGAAGAACATTTTAGAGCAAAATATTAACATTTCCTTTATTCTTTTTATTTGATAAGAAAATTTTTTTAAAAAAATAAAAAATAGGGATTAAGTTATAAGTGAGACAAAAGTTGAGGGACTGAATTATAGTGAATCATGATTGAGGGATTGAATTATAGTGAGTTATAATTGATGGACTGAGTTACATGTGAGTTAAAAGTTAAAGGACTAAAAGAATAATTTTTTCTTTTAAAAATAACACTTTAAAAAATTTAAATTTTGCTAGTCCTGAAATTATTTTAGTTAGGTTGAAAATTTAATTGAAAGGAATTATAAAATCACTTTACTTAAGTTGAAATTTTTTTTAACTTTCAGATTTACAAAATTGATCACTACATTTGTAATTGGCCGATTTAAAATTTGCAAATACTAAAATTACTTTAATTGAATTGAAAATTTAGTTGAAATGGGTTATCAAAACACTTTATTTGAGTTTTTTTTTTACACCTTTAAACTTGCAAACTTAATCACTAGACAGTAGTATTTTGGTCAAATTATTATTTTTAGAACTACAAAAAGGATCATAATTCTAAGACTCAATTTCAAATTTTTGTGGTCATGATTGATTATTTGTGATATGCCTAAGTTCTTAATTTCAATTTTCTCATGTTTAAAATATTTATAAATTATTTTATAAAAAATAATATTGTCATTTTTTCCCTCAACCACCTGATAAAGTAGGAGACATTAAGTCCTAAAAAATTAATGAGAATTATGTTTTCAATAAGATCATGTGAAGAGTAAGTTGCAAATATTTATTTAAATAATTATAAAATCAAGAGTTTTAATTTTAAATGAGACATTTTAAATGGATGTAACTCTTAGATTATAATTTAAATTTTTTTTGTAATTGATCAAATCAATATTTGCAACTCAATTTTTTAAAAAATTTATTGAAAATGTAATTATCATTAATTCCATCTTCTGAGACTCTATTGCCATCTTTCTGATAAACTTGAGTTATACATGACTGAATCAACTTTTATGCACCACTTTTTGAAAATCCATCTTTTGAATTATCAATATATTAATATAAATGTAAAATTAATTAATACAGATATAAAAACTCAGAAAGCATTGCTTTGTCAATAATTATAAATCATTTATAGAAAATAGCAGGACTTGTCTCAAATTTTAAATATATATATATATATATATACTCTGGTCAAAAAATTTTAAATATATGTATATAATTAAATTAAATTTGACAATTAAGTGGTGAACAATTTGCTTTTGACTATTAAATGCCCCCCTTTGGAGATTGACTGATCACTTTTCCATACATAAATTAAAATATTGAAACATAAACAATTTGAATTTTGTAAAAGGTCAATAGCTGATGAATATCGGACAAGATAAAAGGACTTTTTAAAAACTGTTTTTATTTTTTTATTTTTTTTACAACAGTAATTTATTTAGAAGAGAAGCAAATGATTGAACACATATTTCCACATTGGACGCTTTATTTGACCTTTTTGTTGGATAGGATCTTTGGTAGGTAGTAGTAATAATTTTTTAGAGTTGCCAGCTATTGATAACGATGCTAATTGATGAACATTTGTGGGTTGGAGAATCCATATATTTGTATATATTAAATTTTGTAGCGAGTTATTTTATGCATTTGACTAATATATAAATAATATTCCAATTTTGTGATTTGAGATATTTGACAGCTTGTAGTGGGATTCATACTTTGTCATTTTAATTGATTTTTTTGTCTTTATTATTTTTGTTTAATTTTAATTTATATTGATCATAAACATGATCGTTTAATAACTTGTGTAATTTTCAGCATTTTCCATTTTGTTATTGGTTTATATCACCATAAACATAATACTTTCATTTGTGATCATGAATGATTTATAATTTATAAGAACTAAGTTATATCAAATCAACAAACTATAAAAATTGAGTTGTTTGAGTTAACAAATTATAGAAATAGAGTTGTTTTAAGTTAAAGTTCAAGTATTAAATCAATAATTGAGAGAGGGAAAACTCAAGGACCTTATGTTATATTTGACTCATATAACATAGTTGATATATTTCAGTCTCTTTTTTATAAACAAAATATGATCATTGTCATGAATGTTTGACAACTTTAAATTACACGTTTTAAAATATTATAATTTACATTGTCAGAATTTAAAAATGTAATGATTTTAAAGTAGCCAAAAAAAATCCATAGGATTTATAAGAACCAAAATATTGTCATTATATTTGACTGGATTAGATTCAAGCATTGTCATGATTCATTTTAAATATAACAAAATGTTAACCTATAATGTTTGTATAAAATATACGAACTGAATCAACTAAATTATGCCCATCAATTTATCAAAAGTCATGAATCTACCACACTTCACGTTCTTCTTTATTATTATTTTTAAGAAATAATATGGATTAAATAAGCAAACTCTAACCCATCAAAGTTTGCCTATATGGTTCATGAGTTATTTAATTCAGGCAAAAAAAATTATTTTTATTTAGGTCAATTTTTTTTAGCTTATAACTTAACCCATATGACTGGTTATTTAGACGAATCTATACAACCTAACTCATATTTTCATATCTAAAAGTTAGTTCCATTGCTAATAATTTAACCCATAATTTACAAGATTATCATATGTTCAAATTTTATTTTTGATGTGAGGATTTTATTGATAGCCAATTTGTAAGTAGCTCTCTAAAAACTCTTTGAGCCTAAATATGACATGCCCATAGTGAGTCTTCGTGACTCAACTTACTAAAACTTGTTGTTAAAAAAAAGGTATAAATCAATTTCTACTACAAAATAAATTAAGAGTGATTAATAATGTATATTATGTGTGGACTTAGCCAACTTGCATACACACACATAAATTGAAGAACATATTTGAGTTACCTACCTAGCTAAATATTTCTTCCATAAATGCGTGAACTCATCTAGCATGTTGAATTGAATGATGAGCTCACGCAATGAACTAGGAAAAATTAAATGAAAGAAATAATGCATGTATACTTGAGAAGTATAAACAAATTAAATCATAGAGGATAAAAATAAATAAAGGTTCCACGATGGTACATTTTAATTAAACCTACATGATGGTCAATGAAATGCAAATGCAAGTCCTTGTGTTAAGGGAACTTTGAAATGTAGATTAATTCTTTAAATATTTGTTTGTGCCCTTGAGTGAACAAATAACAATGGTATGTATTCAAAATTTTAAATTACTCTGTATGCTTCTTCCATTAAAAAAATATAATATATTTTTAATCAAATCACATCTTTTAATAAATAAATTAATTATTTTCAAACTAACATTATTTTTTGATTCCTACTTTTATTCAATAAGGTGTCTTATTTAAAGGTAAAGGGTTAAGTGATTTATTTATTAAAGGTATTTTTTAAAAAAAATCATAAATTACAATTGAAAAATTAAAAATGTTTAATATTTTTTAACATCCAACATAAAAAATAGCGAAGAGAGTAGATTATAAAAGTAAAAATAAGTGAGTTCTGAATCATACTATAGCTTTTCTCCCTCGAATAATATAAAAGAAAAAGTGAAAGAAATTTCCATAACTATGCCAGCAAACAGAGCATGAAAATATATATTTTTTCATAATAAAATAGGCCTAAATTTTTTACTTTAAATTGGAATAAAGGAGCATATAGAGATAAGAATCAAATTCTTAATAAGTATACTAAAACTGATATCAACATCAAGTAATAGACTTGCCAAACGCTAATTGTGCAGCATACATGACCTTCAAAATATATTATTCTCATTGCTCTCGAATTACAGTTCTTACAAGATCACTACATATCTTAATTATCAAAAACTAAAAACTAATCAAAAACAAAAACAAATGAAAGAAAACGAAAAGAAGAGCATTATCCTATATAACAGGATGGAAAATTAAATTCTCAAGCTTTGGTTTCAGTCAAAGGCAAGCTAAGAACAAAAGAAGATAGAGACTTATTATCATTATTATTATTTTTATTATGAGTGGCTTCTGAAATAATGTTCTCAGCTTTTGAAACAGTACTGCTGAATAATTGATTATCTTCAGATAAATGTGCATTGTTATTTTTATTGCTATGATAATTATTCGGAGCCTTTAGAGGCAATATTGGTGGAATTTCTTGATCAGTCTCTATCACTTTGGCCTCCATGCTTTCTTTGTGCTTTCCCCATAGGACTGAGTATAGCCCTATCACTATCAAGATTGAACCAATCACACTGCATTGGATATATATTGCTTTTGTTAGCCAAAATATATAATAAAACTTTGTTATAATTAAAAAAACATACAATATTCCAGCAATTTAGAATATAAAATAAAACCAAGCAATGAAACTTAGGGAAGCTCAACATGATTTTGCTAAAAAATTATATTCACATCCCTCCCTTTTATTTTTGAAATGGAAATAATTCCCTCAAAATTTTAATTTTCTGAAATTACAAACATCTCCATCATTCTTTTGGAAAGATTTGTGTAATTTTTAAATAAAGAGAAAGTCTATGCGAATAAAAAAATTCAATGAAAGTTTGTGCAATATATATATTACTATTATTAGGGGTAATAAAAAAATTTATCCTCTAAGTTTGTCAGTTGTCAATTCCGTCCTTAAAATGAAATCTTTATATATCAATCAAGTTCCAAGAGTTTTATATCTAAATATACATATAGTTAATTGCAATGGTGTATGTTATTACCCCTTCAAATCATAAAGACTAATTATATTTGGTTATGAAATTGTTAGGACTTGATTAATAAAAATTGAACTCCTAAGACCAAATCAATAACTAAAATAAACTTAAAGGATATATTTTTTTTATTATCCCTTATTATTACAAGAAAGGTTATAAAATTTGAAACAAGAGAACGAGATTCAGTAACTCCAATGAAATTAAAAAAAAAATTGATCTAGTTTTGATTTGATTAGGGAACATTGATTAGTGATGCTAGGTAGTGAAGGATCAATGTACTAAATGAAAAGGGATAATCATTTTATGTGTATGAATGAGCATTTAAGCATGGTTATAAACTTCTTGTTAAATTTATTTTCAACATCTATGCATAATAATTAAATAAAATAATTAAGAAAATTAATGAATTACCCTCCAAGATAGATTTGTTCAGACAGGATAAAGGAGCCCATGATGGCCACAATAATCATCATCAAAGGGCTAAAGGCAGTGGCAAAGACAGGCCCTTTCTTCTTTATCACCAAACCTTGAACATAGTATGATATGCTTGATGTCACAATCCCCTAATTAATAGACATAAAAAATATTAAATTTAATAATCAGAATCATTGATTAATTTAAGGCACACAATATCCAAAAAAGCAAAAAAGTAAAGCTGGAAATCAATTAAATGTAAGTAATTTAATCCAAGGGGTTTCAGTCTTATGTAGTTTTTAGCTTGTCATGTATACTCGTAAAAGCAAAAAAAGAAATATATGCGACACTTATATGAAATAAATGAATTATAGAAAGAATTACAAACAGATCTCAAATAAAAAAATAACTTTTTTCTCAGTTTCAATTATAAGTCAAACTTATATATCTATAGGTAGTTAGGATCTTAGGTAATTAATTTTTTTATTTAAAACTTGTATATAATTCTCTCAATCTTGTGCAGGACATGAAAATTTAAATTAAACCCTTTAGATTAAATGGAGTCGATCTAAAACCGCGTAATTGGAGTCTAGATTCCATATAGTCTAAGACAATATTTGGCATATGAAAAGTGTTTCCTAAAAAAAAAGGATAAAATATTTTAAAAAATGAGATAGATGCATTTTTCATTTTTTTTTGTATAATTTCTTTTTTCTACCTATACCAAATAGCATTAATCGCACAAGAATTTCAATCTTGTCCTGCCCAAGATCACATTGTCTGTTATATATGCCCAAAAAAGAGTGAAGTGACACTTGCATGAAATCAAAACAAAGATTTCAAATGATTTAAAACCAAAATCCTATTGAGCTACACACACACACACACACACACACACACACACACACATAAAGTGAGAGGAAGTAATTAATTGAAGGAACATTAGCTTACAGCATAGGCAGCAGCAAGCAAGTTCATGTCCCAACCAATTCTCCACACAGAAGGGTCGTGCTCCATGACAAATGTAACAGCAACGGCCTGAAGTGTGCCTATGAAGCACACCAATGATGTGAGGCTTAGCTGATGGTTCTTGTATGTCTCTAGGGCTTTGGCCTGCACAAATAATTAGTTAATTAATTACAATCACACACACACACATGGAAGGATTAAATGGCAATTTCATCCTTAAATTATAGGTCTCAAAATGTTTGTAACCCTAACTCATTTTTAGTGCAATATTATTCTTCTTCAACTTTTAGAAATAGTGAAATGTCGCCCTTACCATTCACAAAAGTTAATTAAATAAAAGGATCTAAAACTTATAAATAAAAACCAAACACTATACACAAGGACCTAAAAGATTATATTTAAATTTTTTGATCAACTAATGATCAAAATTAATATTTGTTAAGGTCGAGGTAATATTGCACCGTTTTGAAAGGTCTAAGGAAACTTTGCACCAAGATGAATTTAGAGTTTTAACCACCGTAATTTATAGTTTAAAATCCAATTTGTCATTTAAACCTATATATATTGTCAATCAATCAATAAAATCAATCTTTTCTATTTATTTCTTATAAGCCAATGATCAGAAGAAGCCTTACTTGAAGAACGAAGAGGGAGGCCCAAGCGAGAGTGGCAATGATGAGGAAGATGGAGCCAATGAACCATTCTTTGTCAGCAATGTTAGAATTTGCAGAAGGAGAAGAAGAGTTGGATTTGTGATGGGAAAGATCATTGTGAAGATGTTTGGCCCAAACCATTTCCACAATAGGGCCTTTGTATAGTGTCATCAACATGGCCCCCCAACTGTCACTAATGTTCCCATTATCTTTGCTTGGCATCTCACCTTTTCACATTTATCTTTTCCATCCTATATTTATATATATTACCAACAATATATCAGTACAAAAATATACATATAATTAATGTTGTTTAAAGCAAAAGTGCACATTAATCAGCCATCTAATATTTCAATTTGATCCCTTAATTTTATAAACTATATTTTCATTCATTTAATTTAAGTCTAATATTGTTGGTCTCAAATAATAATTCTTTGTGTTAATCATGCATTGTTATTTTTTAAGAGAAAGTTAAACCTAATATGTTAACACTTGATGAAAATGTTTCATCAATATTTGAAATTAAGTTCAATGTCAACATTTTTTATTAATAAAATGGATTGTGTTAGGATTAGAGAATTGAAAAAATATTTTATAAAATTTAAAATAAAAAATAAATTTTGTGTAAAATTAAAGGATAAAAAAAAAGATAAGAATGTTTTACCTGCATAATACTGCCATCACAAAAGTCATTGCAGGAAGCATGTTGCTCATAGCACATGAGAAGGTTGGGGATGTAAATTTCAACCCAGCATAGTAGAAATTTTGATCAATCACTGGCCTGTTCAAAACACATCATTAAAAACCCATTAAGATTCTTGTTAATGGATCAATTATATTAGTGTGCTCGCTCTTGCATATGCATACATGTATAATTATAAATTTTTTGGTAGGAAAATGATTAATCCCAACGACAAAATTTTATTAATTCAAAATGAATAACTTCTATTATGAAAGAGAAAGAGAAACTAAGTTAATTATAACAATGACAAAACTAAAGTGGGGGAATTTTTAAGATAAACGTACAATTATGCGACATTTAGCCATTGTGTTATTATCTATTTACTGACAAAAAAGAAAAACAGATAAGAAAGTAACATATTTAGGAACTTTTAGCTTTTGAGGAAATTATTGATTATTGATATTGAAGGGACTGACCCAAGGAGAGCAAGTATGAAGATTTGCATGAAAACTCTGAAAGTTATCCTGGGTTGAGCTTTCCTGGAAAATTACAGACGACAAGGACAGTATGAGTAACATACGTGATGGATTATAACTAAACAAAAAGGCTCGAATATAATATATATATATATATATATATATAGACCTTTCAAAGAAGAAGGCAAAAGGAGCGATAACAGCAGTGGCAAAAGCATGGCGATAAACGACGAGGACGTAGTGGCTCATGCCTTGGTTCAGAGACACCTTTGTGATAATATTCATTCCTGCGTACCCAAATTGTAGAGAGATCATTGCGAAGTAGGGTTTTGAGCTCTCCAGGAACTTCCCACAGCTTCCAAGCTTCTCAGAAGAAGCCATTTTTACAGCAGAGAAGAAGAAGATGGTGATGAAGGATAGAGTTTGGCGAGAGAGAGAGAGAGGGGTATATACGTTAGATAGATAGAGTTGTTAATGGAGAAAATAACAATTGAAGAGGAAGAACACTGTCTCTTTGAAGAAGTATTAGTGTTTCGTCCTAAGAACTATACTTGGGATGCCTCCTTTATTTATACCAGCCTCCTCCTCTCCACTTTATCATTCTCATTTTCATTAAAGCCCTCTCAATCACTCTCTCTCTCTCTCCTCTCTCTCTCTCTCTCTCTCTCTCTCTCTCTCTCTCTCTCTCTCTCTCTCTCTCTCTCTCACACCCCACAAACAAACAAAATCAATCACAACTAGATGTAGCAGGGTCTACTTGCATACTGTGAGTGCATCTTTTTTTAAAAAAAAAAATTCATCATTCAACTGTTGAGGATATTATCACCTCTTGTCTAGACTAATCTGAATTCCCATTATGTAAGACTATTATTATCAACAATGTCCTCACAGATACTTCAGGGATACATTGGGCATGTTTATTTAACTCAAATACATATCCTAGAATTTGAGTACAAGACTTCAAGATTAATTTATTCAATTTCAACAATCAATTGAACTAAATACCTCTTGATACTGTATAGTATGTCTTGTTAAATTTGAATAATTCAAATTATAATATGATAGCTGAGATAGGAAATCAAGAGGGATTCCATTTCAGCTCCTATTTGAACCATCCAAATCAAATAGGGATGATCCTTAATTGATAAATTTGCATTTTTATATTTTTTAAAAAAATTATTATTTTAATAGATATAGAATTTAAAATTGTTATTTAAAAAATTATATCTAAAATTACACATTAAAAAATTTTAAATTTATATTTTTAAATTAATTGTGAATAGCCCAAATCTTATTACTATGAATTGTGATGAGTATCAAAACTCAACCCAAAAGTAAAGAAAGTGAAAGGAAAGGAAAATATGCATATATAGTGGTTGTGTGGATGAATATTTTACTGATGCTTGCCCCAAAACAAAAATGAAATGAAATTAACATTAATTAAGTTAAGATGAGAAGATAAAAAACAACGCAGATCAATTGAACTTCCATCAATAACTTATGGTCACTGGAAATAAAAATAGTGAATGGCATTTATAATAAGTAAAAACAGATTTATGAAAATCATCACCTTAAGTCTAACAATGATTGAATTTGGATTGATACATAAGTAGTGACTAACCACATAGGGGTATGAGACTTATTTTTATATATATATATATATATATATATTCTCTATTTTTATTCACTTTTCTTTACTTCAAAATATATTTAATTTCACAAATTTTGGTCTTCAAATGATTCATATTTCTCCTCTTTTATACCGCAGAATAACGTTTTGAGAGAACTGATTATGAACTTCAATTCGAAAATATTGTATCTTCTTACTTCACATACAATTAAGAGAATAATTCCCTCTTACACAGCTTGAATTGGATTGGTACTTTGATTAATATCTTTCTCTTTGTTTAGTTTTCATAATATTTTTAAAATCTACAATTAATTAATTAACCTGATGATGACCCCTCTTGTTCCCATTAGTTCAAACTATATATATATATTTTCACTTCTTTCTATAATCATTAATTCTAATAATTATGCTAATCGTAGCAATGATGAGAAGTTTAGATTAGCAATAATAAATTAATTAGATGCTACACATATGTATTCCACTAATGAAAATTTAAAGAGTCGATAAGGTGTTACTGTTAGCCACAAAAATTATGTTATATGATCATAATAAAAAATAATTACGTACGCGCTTTATTATAAAACTTGATTATAGCTAGGGATCGGGATTCACTGTTGAAAAAAAATAAAGTTTATTATCGCATTAATTATTTCTCTTTTATTATATGATCATAATTAATTATCCATATGCTTATTAGAATATATATATATAATATATATATAAACTTGCACTTTTTGAAGAATGACATTGATAATATGTAAAAGAAGAGAGAAGTGGGATACACGTGGTACTGTAATGGGGATTTGGTGAGAATCTGAGTCACTAAGTATTTGGGATCATCCTCACGTCTCAAACACTGTGACTAATATAACAAAGAAAATTGAAAGAATTTAGTGAAAAAAATGAAATTAATTTCAATTTGATCTTAATTATGAAGTAGGAGCGATATGTAAAGTTTTCACTTTTCGGTATAACCTACTCTTTTAAAATCTGTATGACATTTATCAACTTAATAAAAAATGACTTACTCCCTCCATTAAAAATTATAAAACATTTTTAACCTAAGTTCATTCTCTAATAAAGTAATTACATACTTTTAAACTAATTATATTTTTTTATATTTACTTCTATTAAACACCCTATAATAAATATAAAGTCTTTTATTAATAGGAACACTTTTAAAAAAAGAGAAAAATACCTCAAAAGATTAAAAATGTCTTATATTTTCTAACATCTAACTTTTTAAAAATATCTTATATTTTTGAATGAAAGGAATATATTTTTTCTACTGGCATTAGAGATCATCTTGAAATATTTTAAAAATAGATCAATATATATATATAATTTAAACTAAATGAGAAATTGTAATGCATTGTTTTTTTAGCGAACATAAATACACAATACTAATTAATTTTAATGACATAATTTTTGCGTCAATATATAAAAAACTATGATAATAATATATTGAATGACAATTATGTAAATATGGAGTAAACAGGGAATATTTTATAGCATGAGTTATAAATTGTAATAGGCACCATATATAATTATTTATAAATCATCGATCTGACACATTTTCCCCATAATACATAATTCAAATTTGAAATGGTATCGGTTTTGATCAGAAAATTATAAAAAAGAACTTCAAAAATTATATAAAAAGGCCAAAAATTATCAAAAAAAAGATCAAGAGGAATTTTTTTGTCATTCTATATAGTTGTTTAGATCCTTTTCTGTAAGGTTTTGCCAATTAATAATCAAAATTAATAGTTTTAACTATAAAGGTCATATTACACCATTTTGAAAAGTTGAAGGGAAATATTATATTAAAAATGAGTTTAGAGTTTTAGGTGCTCTTAAACCAATAATTTAAAGGATAATTTTTTATTTAACCCTTCTTTTTAATCATTTCATTATAATAATTTAATAACAATTGTGTTTAGTAAAAAAAATATAAAATTAAATAATTAAACTCATGAAGTGAAAAGGTTGAGGTTGGGATAATGATATAAAAGCAAACTAAAGACTGGATGGTAATAAGGAGACAGTTTGAAGTGGAGCACCAAAATAAATGGGCATCTAATCATACTCCAATCATTGAAAATTTGATTTGAGCATATGACAAAAGTAATAACACTGTAGTCCCACATATTACATATCTAGCACAAATGTCCAGGTAATCATCTCATCACCCAAGAGTCATTTGTGGATCAACAAACATCTCATTGAAAAGACAAATTAAATTAGGGTAATTCATCACATGTATGGTCCCTTTTTCAGAAGCTTGGGACTTGGGTGGTCCCATTGTGATGTTTGAAAACTAATTAAGCTTATAATAATATAATTTATCACAGTTTTGATAATTTATCCATTATATTGTGTGTATATCTCAAGAGTAATTTTTTTTATAAATATTAGGAATATACTCCACCAATAACAATGTTCATATCCACGAAATATTAAAAGTTAGAGTACAAACCTCAATGCCAACACCTTCACCAAATTAAAAAGATAATTATAAATCTGGCATCAACATATTAAGCCTTTCATTCTTTCGCGTGATACGGAATAAAGTTTTTAATTATAGTTTTAAGTTAATTAATAAATTGAAAAATTACAAATAAAAATTGAATTGAGCATATAATCTGAACAAAGTACGAAAAATTCATTTTTATTTACCAAAAAAATGGAGCCACTGTTATTACAAGTACTGGAAATTAGAAACAATAATCAAGCTCCTAATCTATCAATGTTTATAAAATTTGGATTATTTTGATATAATGATCTATTACATCCTAGCTAGTTGAAATTTAAATATTACATATGTCCTAAAAATTGTCAAATCTAAGATATGAGGATAATGGTGGTCAAAAGTATCAAGCCTTGTTTGTCCCCCTCAAAGCTAATTAAAGTGTATGGAACAAGGGGTCAAAAAAGAAGTGTGTGTGAAATGAGTTTGGAGTATATCATTTCATCTATGTGTTATAAAACATAGAATAATTGATAAGTATGGCCACCATTAAGAATGTGAAGTGATATATACACATATATGACCACAATCTATGTCGATGTGTTTGGAACCCTAGGTGACCACCTTCCTCTAACAACAAAACAAAGCTTCTTTATTTGACTCTTTCTTTGTCCATTCTTTATAAGGATTTCAAATAAGGACATGGATGGGACTTAATTATTAATGTATTTCAAAAAAAATTAAAATTTCAATTCAATTTAAGGGAATTTAAAGTGAAAATATATTTTAATGGTGAAAAGACTAAAAACTACCTTTTACTTGTTATATAGAATTATTAATTATTAATTTTTTATTTACTTGTTTAATTTACTAATATGAGTTGTAAATTATATGAACTTTCATATCAATGATTATACAGGACTTGACATCAGTTGTTTAATCATGAATAACAGTATTAGTTGTTAAATTGCTAATTTTTTTATTAATTTACTAATATTAGTTGTAAATTATTGCATCAGTTGTAAATGTAACTCTATAGGTATTATAATTTATAATTGATGTTAGTAAATTATCAAAAGTAAAGTTATTAATTAACAATAATATTACTGCTTGTTGACAAATAAATGTAATTTACAACTCAATTGATAAATTAATAAGTAAAGTAAGAAAATTAATAAACAATGATTCTGCATAACAAGTTAAGGATGATTTAATTTTTTTCACTGAAATTATTTTTACTTTAATTCTCCTAAACTAAACTAAAATTTCAATTTTTTTTTGGAACTCATTGGTAATTAAGTTCCATCCATGATCCTTAATTTAAATTATTATCTACATTGATAAAGATTAGACGAATTATTGAAGTGGGAGTGGCAATATTCAAGGTCGATGGTGGACCATATGCTTTAATGGTGATCGGACAGTTATGATTAATTTAATATAT